TAAAAGTCAATACTTTTCGCAAGGTCCACCAAACCCCCGGCTTAACCCTTACTAAAAATCACTACCAATGCTTCAAATTACTTAGCTTGATAAAAACGGGTATATAATGATTAAGCAAAAGTATAAATAGAACGTAACAAAAGTATCCCTGTTCCCCCCAGGGTTACCACACATGTCGCGAGTCCTCTACATAATATGTCCGCCATAGGAATGTGATACAATGAAAACGATCCTTGAAGAGCGGGATCCCCTGTATTGTCAACAGACCGTTATCTGATCCAATCTCGGGATTTTAATGGGATATCCGGTACGTGGTTTCCTTCACCGGCATGTTTTGCCAATTTCTCCCTCCGTCTTTTCACCCCTCTCTCTTAGCGCTGCTCCCCCTCCGCGAAATATTCAGCCAACTGTTCGCGATTCTTGACTTTGGCCAGAAATTTATCCTGCAGATAAGGCGAGCTGAGAATCAGATACCGGGCCAAATAGGCCAAGTCCATTCGTGGTAGAACGCATGATTCACGTCCGACATGGCCCGCCCCTTGGATAATATCAAGACATGAGTCTATATATTCAGGGATGGTTGGTATAAAGACTGGAAATGTGATTGGCTGATCGCCTGCGAACCGGATGTCCCCGCCGGTAAGATGAAAGGGCCCCATCCTCCCGTCTAAGGGGCTGTGGTGAAATTCAGATTCCACCAACACACTGTTGAAGTTAATGATATGCGGGGCTTGGATCTTCCTGGTGTTGACTGGAATGCAGTAGGAGTCCTCCGTGCAAAGAAGAATGTACTACTTATCATCATATATCCCCAATCGCTGGACAGCGCGGTATTCCGGAAGATCACCTCCCTCAAGTAATGGTGGCATGCTAGATTCGTCAACTGCGAGCCACTCATTAGTTTCAAGAAAGGCTTGGTATATGGATGCCACTTGTGAGTTCCGCATTAGGATATCTACCATCTAACTCAGACAAATTAGCTACGAGAATTGGGTCATCAAGAACGGTAAGTCAGACATGCATATGCCGCGAATACTAGAACGCCCATCCAGTTCAACCCATACTGTATTTTCCAACCAGAATAAAGGGGTGATCACAGGCACTGAGAACTGAAAAAACGGATTCCAGGGAAGCAGGACTTTGTGACTAGTAGCGAGCCATTGAGCTATTTCTGTGCCGATGAGGGGGAACCGGAATCCCAACGCACGCCGCTGACCTGGCAAGTTTGCATGGATGGGTATGATATCAAAACTATGATAATGGTCCACTTAATCACAAGATATCCAAACCTACTATATGAGGAAAATGTGACGATGCGAATTCTACCTTCCCTTAACCAGACTCTCATATCCTGCAGGGCCATAAATATCCTTAGACCAGAGATGAAAAGAAATCGGTAAATGTTTCTTCTTTGGGGAGAATGGGGTATTATGATAGAATATAATATCGTAATACCAGAAGATAAAACTCGCATTATACCAGGCACTGACGTGTAGGGGACTGAATTTCTCTTCAAGGAGTCCCAACTGGTTTACATATCATAAGGCATTATATAATATTATGATACACTTTGCACCCTTCGCTTGACCACGCTATAGTCCAAATGGCACACAACATATCTTCAACCAGTTCGGATGATTGAACTGTGGTCACCGAGCCCTGCTTTCCCTTAGGAGCATTTCTGCCGCCCTAACCGTCCGCCAACACCCGTTCTCATGGTCGGGAAGTATCGTATGCATCACCGGTACGGTGGATGGAGTTCCGGTAACCATGGGATCTGCATTCATGGCTTACTCCTCCCCATGCCTAACCCACTCTCATCATAAATACTGGATATCCCTGGGCCGGACCCCCCCCCCCCAACTAGTGCGTCTATACACCAAGCCTTAGGGCAGACTGGGGAATTTCTGGAACAATGCAAACATTTAGCAAGCGAGCCAAAGGTAAAGGAACTGTCGAGAAGGTGAGAATGTCCGCGCAATTCAATTCGACATTCCAACGAAGATGAGGAGGTCGCCGAAGGTATTATAGCAACCCCGCCGGGTTGGCTAATACGGGTGCTGAACGCATGAAGCATCACTCCATTCAGCGATTGAAGAGGTCCACTTGTACAGTACCTTAGCCTCAGCAACGAGGGCTCCTACCGCCCGGCGGTCGACACGGAGAAGCTCCAAATCCCACATGTCGTTAACGTCCCCAGCACATTTTGTACCGTCAGAATTTCATTCAAACGCCAGTGACCGCGGTATCCGGCCCGATCTCCTCAGTCATGCAAACATCGAATCCTTGTGGGGCGAGCCAATCACATTTCCCGCCTTCATTCCGACAATCACACGATTTCTAGACTCATATCTCGCCTGATTGTCTGGATGGTCGGAGCTACTTGGATGGTGAACCTTGCATGATACCGCAAACGGACATGGAAATTTTGGAATGGTGCCTGGCTCGAGCCACCAACAAAATAAACTGCTTGCCAAGGCCAAGAGTGACAAGCGGTTATTGGAATATTTTTTGCGGACCAGCAGAGGAAGCAAGAGAGAAGAACGAAAAGGGCTATGGAGAGACGGGCGAAGCGTGCTATTCATTCAGATCCCGGGCTAAAGGTTCCATTCGTCATGCTATCACTATGAAATGGGGTTTGATGGCTGTCTGTTTATATTCCGGAAGGGTTGGTGTCTGCGGTCTGCCACTGCTAGCGTTTCGGTATGCTTTGTATCTGTGCGGAATGGTAGTACTGGTGATAGCTTCTATCAGCTTTTGGGATTTGGAGAGAATATCACTCATATTATCATCTTATTCACTAGAACGGAAGTGGCGGTAGTGCTGGATACAGGTTTATTGATCTAGAGGGGACTGGGCTGTATTGACTTTGCTGTATGTATATTACCTATTGTCTTTTGTTTTCAGGTCGCAGTAATAGTTGTAAAGACAATGGGATAAGAATTTTTCATCTACCATCCACACTTCCCTTGCGGATGGATACCTGCCCGGGCCTGGAGGCTGCCCCAAGCCTATTCTATGAAAGGGTTTTGATAAGCATAGCCAAGTCCCCCCTTTCCGCCCCCTCGAGTCCAGCAATAATATCCTCCAATATCTTTTTCTCCTCCGTTTTCAAGCCTTTGAAATTGTATCCCTTGCGCATGGCATACATACTCCCAACCTCCGTCAGGGATCGGTGAGGATCGGCTGTCCGTCATATCTGCCTCCTGGAATTTGTTCAAGGGGCCAGCAGCAATGGCCAAATCGGTATCCTGCGTTGGGATGCCTGCACCATGGAAGTGAAGAGCCGTGCCTCCAACCACCAAAAATTTTCCCCGGTGCTCTTCGCCAACCAGGGCCCAGACTTTCCTGGCTGCTTCCATGGCGGCCAATTGGGTACGTGTCCGGGTCGGGGCCCGGCCGAGCAGTGTGTTTGAAATGGTTGCTCCTGCAGTCGACATGCGAAGCCCGGCCGCTACCGTAAACATGGCCCCAGCCCCACCAACCTCACCGCCAGCAGCCACAAGAGGCAGGGCCGACCCACTCCTCTGTTCTGCCTGTTACTTGGCGAGCATCTCTAAGACCTGCTGGACGGCCAGTTTGGCAACAGAGCAGCGATGCCGTCGGCTTTGAAGACGGGGAGATAGGAGGAAGGGGCCCGAGGTGGTCATTCAAGCTATTATGGCAGCCGTACCGAGCCCAGCACAGAGTGTGGCGAGGAACTAGCAAACCTGGGCACAAATGCTAAAGAATATGAGATGACCAAGTCAGTGATCAGGATTGCTTGGAGCCCCTAAGGGCCCATTTACCTAACCGCCCGCGTCTAAAATTTATACTGATAGTGAAAGTAAGCGGCCATGTCATACATGAGTCTTTCCATTTTTCCATATCCCATCAACTGCAAACCTTTGTTAGTAAAGAAAATCTTAGCGGGTAGATAGTTACTTACGACGGATCAAGGAAAGCAATGACAGCGGAGCCAACAAGACCCAATTGCCGCCGCATAAACTTGAGTCCTCCCTTGAGCTCCTTCCCCTCAGGGCTGGTCAAGTCGTTTTTCATCTCCGGGAAACCTGCTCGGATCTTGCTGTCAAGTCTGTTGATTAATTGACAAGTCTTCATCCCGGTGTCTCTAAATTCCTATAATTAGAGCGAGCGGTATGCAAACCAGACCAAGCATATACATACCGTACGTAAAAGAAACTTTTCTGAGACAGTTATCGTTTCTAAAAATGAACTCTCACTATCAGGAAATTGGCTAGTTGAATCGGTAGCAATGAAATGAAAAGAATAACTTAGCCTATGGGGCTGTGTTGCTCTCTGGCTGGCTTACTCGAGTATTCCAAATGGGTACCACCAAATCTGAAGTGGGTGTGGGCTGGCTGGTGGCGACGGTATGATACGAGTACTCGTACAGTACTAAGTACTCGAGTACAGTCGCACCTCGCTATAGCAAATGCCAAGAGTTCAGGACCTTTCGTTCAGTCTGCCCCTTGGCCGCTCTGAAACAATCAAACTCGTAGCCAGGCTGACCAAATCATGTTTTGGGGGATTCTGAGTGTTGTGATTCGTTGGAAGATCAATGCTCCCTGTGTAAGGAGATCCATTATAGCGAGGTGCGGCTGTACTGTACTCGTAGAAGTCGTGCAAGGAGATTAAACTTTTTGGTTGAAAGATACTCGAGTACTATGATAGTCTACTCGTACCCTACTTTATACTCGACTGGGAAACTGCAACCATTGCCCAGACTGAAGTGGCACAATGTCAGCTCACCTTGCCCGACCACGATACCTGCCAAAAATTGGCAATTACGCGTACCGGTAGCATACATGGGAGGACGGTTGCCAAGCTAATGCGGTAGCCGCTGTCTTGATAATACGGTCCAGTCTTGGCACTTCTTCAATACCGTACGGTACAGTAGAGTGCAACGCGGTTGACGAGGAAAGGGGGGGGGAAACGGTTGAAAGTATACTGTACGACAAGTTCACTGGTCTTGCAGAGGACGACCGCTCCTCGAAATGTAATAGTCAATAGAGATTTAGTATGAGGTATAATAGAAGGAAAAAAAAAAGGATAAGAAAAATTGAAAAATTGAAAGACCCGGTATGATGATAATGCACCCGAATAATGATTAAGCCGACTTGGAGAAAAGGGGGTTACACCCTCTTCCACCTCCCCGCCCCGTTATTCCGACCCGATCTCTTCTCCTTTTTCTAATGAAAGCGCCAAACTGACCCATCCACCCATCCATCCCACGAATTCCTCCTTCTGCTTGCCCTACTGTACAATTTCATGAGGATTCCCATCGTATGAAAAGGTGGAATGATTAAGAAACACAAGTAAATAAAGAGCACAATGACAATTTTCCCTTTCTTTTTGTTCGACGAGAAGAAAAAAAATTTGATGCAACTGCCCTCCTTTTCTATCCATCTACCAATCCCATACCCTAAACAAGATGGCCAAAGACCAGGATTCCCCCGGCCAGCAATACGCTCCCGATCACCGACCCGGCACGTAGCGATCCCACACCACTGTTCAGCCCGGCAGCATCGGTAGACTGCGATCCAGAACCGCTTGTGGATGATCCGCTTCCGCCAGCCCCACCGGAACCACCGCTGCCCGCACCTTCCGTCTCAGCAGGCCCGACGACGAGGACGCTCGTCTCCGTGGTCAATGACCCATCACTGTTACTCCGGACAAAGGTAGTCGTGATGTTGTTCCTCCCCGTGGAAGGCTTAGCCGTGGTGGTGCCGTTCTTGCCGCCGGTGGTAGTGCCGTTATTGCTCGGGGAGGAAGTGATGGTGGAGTTTTGGGAACCGCTGGTCTTTGTCGGAGCCGTAGAGTTGGTGTTCGAGCTGCCCGTTCCGGTCGTATTTGCGGGTGAAGAGGTTGGAAGGAGGGTTGTGCCGCTAGTGACGTTCGTCGACGCTGCGGCGGATGTTGTGGAGTTGGCTTGGGCAGTAGCCAGTACCGGGAGGAAGGTCAGGAGAACGGCGGCGAGGACTTGAATCGACTTCATGCTGGCTCTCTTCTCCTGCTCAACTGATTGCTCCGTACGATGGATGGATAGATGGGATTAATCGAGTCGTGTGCTTGTGAAAAGCAGCGGGTGGATGGTGGACAGGAGGATGTCTACTTCTATGCGAGGACGGAGGAAACTTATATAAAGGAAATGGGACTCGTAGGCGTGGAATGCGGTCTTACTCAAAAGGCACAAGCGAGCGGTGAGGATAAGGAAATAGGGTCCCAAAGGAAAACAATGAAAACAAAAAGACCTAAAAAAAGATGGGAAAATAAAGAGCGAACGAAGAGAGAGATCTTGAAGCTTTTATCATGGGAGGCGGCGAAGGCTTTTTGTACCTACACTTGGTCCTCCTCCTCCTCCTCCTGCCCCCTTCCAGCCTTCCCACCCCTGTCCCACCCACCTCCCTCCCGTCACAGGAGATGCTCAACGAGTCAGCGTGGGCCGGAGCAGAATGTGTGGCAAGGGGGCTCACAAAGTTCGAACACGGAACAAAACGTACTCGAGTACCGTAGCTGTACGAGTACCGATACTGGAGCACTACTCGTACAGTGTGCCCCACCCACCGTAAGCAGGCCAGTCCCGTATGATAGGGTAGCTGACACCTACTCGAGTACTGCCAACCCCCATCTCAGCCCCCCCTAACAGCGAAACCGGTTCTCGAGACGCGCGCCTTCAATCCTCCTGCATCATCCGAAAGTGGAAAAACGCCCTGTCGATCTCCTACGGTACCTTACCGTATGCTGTGCACGAGTGCTTGTATTACTGTACACTTTGCACTCGCATCGCTGAGCCCGTTACCGAATACGGTACAGTAAGTACGATAGCGGAGCATTCGAGCACCAGGAGTTACGAGTACCCGGGTACCCCCTTCCCTTCCCTCCCTATTTTTGGTGTGGACGGGAACGGTGAAACTGGACTGTTTTCTCTGCTGCAGTGGGAAGCACTCGAATACAGTAAGTGGTGGGGCCAATCCGCATGCCTCCTTGGTTGCCTTTCCTGCCTGCCTGCGACGGTACCTGTGATGAGTATACCGGTATTTCGCAATGGGTGAATGGGATTATTCATGTGGCGTTTTTTTCTTTCTTTCTTTGTTTACTTATGATACTCCCTTCCTCCATTTGTCAATGGGGGGGGGAAGGGGCTCTGAGCCTTCCCATTTTCCCGGTTTGCTGACTCGGGCTGGCTCAGCCCCAACCCCACCACCACTAACAGCGAGGCGAAGCAGGGTGGCAAGCGAGCGAGTGAGGACGCATGAAGATAAGATCCCAGCCTTCTGCTAATGCATTAGGGGGGCTTTTTTTTTTGCTTTTCCTTACCTCTTCTTCCACTCTCATGGCAGAAAGAGCACAATGTTAGCGAGAATGTCTCACATCACTCTTCTCTCGTCGCTTTCTCTGAGACTACCGCAACCAACCAGCCTTGAGGATTCCTGTCCCCCCGTTACATAGAGTTTGGCCATTAAAAGGAGAGGCAGGAGAATACTTTTTTGTTTTTGTGGTTGTTGGGGAAAAAAAAAAAAAGCCAATTCGCACAGTACTGTAATAATAATAATAATAATAATAATAATAATAAAAATTGCACCTCATATCCGATTCCCTAGTCACAATAATCACAGTTATCATGCTGTAACGCGGACCAGGCAAGGTAGAGGGTTAAGTTAGTTGGTTAGTCACGGCATGGCATGGCATGACAGGGGACTAGGTAATTTCTTCCTTCCCACCCACAGACACAGAAGCACACACAACCCGTACAACATCACAACCGCTCACTCGCTTAATCCATCCTTGCATAGAGTAAGTAAGGTATCATACCGTACGATAATTCCAAGGACGAGTACAAGTATACTGTACAGACACAAATCTTACTCACCGACCAATCCCCGATCCTCCGCGGTACAGTAATTACGCGCAATCTTCTCTCTATTTTCGAACACCCCCTCCAAAAAAAAAAAAAAAAAGACATTGGTTGAAGCACAAACAATCCCTCCCACGGTTTGTCTGTCTGTCTGTCTCAATTCCGCTCTCGGATAAATAAATTCCGAGACGCCACTAGTACGAGTAGGTTTCTCGGCGGGCGGTCTGGACTGGACTGGACGGACGGACTGCTGTCACAGACGGCTGGGCGGAAACACTCGGACCCCTCGGACACTGTGGGAATAATACTCGTGGGAAAGAAAAGAAAAAAAAGTGTCTCCGGAATGGGAGATTAATATCGTATTACACTTATTGTGTGAATTGATGGTGTTCATTCGCATCATTGAGACTTGCGGGAACTTACGGTATAGTACTATTATTATGGTACCGTACAGTACCGGTATGATAAATACAAGTAGTATGATAACCTGGGCGGCGGGTCCGTAACTTATCTTCCGGAGAAACTTTAAAAAAAAACGCCGAGTACTCTTCATGTACCGGTAGTACCGGTACCGCTACCGCTGCCGGTACTTGTGCTGCATGATATACGGTACCACGGCGGGTACGAGTTCAAGTACCGGTACCTGAAAACACGGCTTGTGTTACTACTGTACTTGTACTGTACGGGCAAAGAAAGGGTTGCCTCATGGAAGGAGATACGGTACTGTAGTTCATGCCGGGTACGAGTTACTCAAGTACGATACGAGTACCATACGGCACTGACATGGTATCATACGCTGGGCTTTTTCTTGGCTGCGACGAGATGGGAGCCCCGTCTTATTGCCTGTTCGTTTGATGCCCTTACAGTAACGTTAGATCGGGGATCCCGGGCATCGGGGGTGGGAGGAGGGGGGGGGAAAGGAATGAGAGGAAGGATCCCTGCGCCGCTTCTGGAAGACGGAAAGGGCTCGTCTCGTTGGGTCGTTTATGGGCAGACAGGATCGAGTGGAGTGTGATACCGGTACTGTACGGACGGTATGATGCTGTACCAATCGAGCAATAAGTTAAGGGGGAAACTTCCAATTTCAATCTTTTATTTTTATTTTTATTCTTCATTAAATTCTTTTACTGTATTCTTTACGCACCCTCTCATAGGGCTAGTCTACCCGAGCTCTCGAGCTCTTTTTTCTTCTCCCTCCACTCTCCTGCCTGGCTTTTCCCGGAACCCGTCCGCTTGGGAATGTCAACTTTCTTTTGCAGGCGGCCAATGCGCAGTGGCTCTTTGCTACTATAACTTATATATTTATCTGGGGGAGGAGAGAAAGCGGGTTAAACATGACAGCACAAGACGTGACAGGGCGGGAAAGGAAATTAGGACAAGCGAGAAACGGAAAGAAGATAGATAAATGTAACCCAAAAAGCCCTTCCATCTTGAGGAAACAACAGCAAAACTCGGACAACGCGAGTTCCATTGGAGGAGTCAACACAGTTCAACCAACACAACAACGAACGCCAAACCCATAAAAAGAATAACAGCGTGGGAGAGAACAAGATTGTCCAGATATCAACGTCTAAGGCTATCCAACCGGGCTTGAAGGTCGTCGTCCATGTTGTCCGCACCGACCGCTTGAGCAACTTTCCCTTCCGAGGCGGCGTTCATATTGCCAAGTCCTGTGGGAGTCTCCCCGAGCTGCATCCCGCTCGTGTCAGTCATCGGTCCGGGAAATAACCAAAGGGGAGGGGCATTTGTCACTCACCAGCTGGCTCATGTCCACACCTATCTCGTCAAGAACTTGGTTGACAACCTCGTCACTTTCCGCCTCGTCGTCCAATCCGGTAACATCGTCGATGGCGTCATCCATGACCTCCTGTCGCTGATCCATGATGTCGTTCTCCTTTTCAAATTCCATGGCGATGCGTTGGAGTGCGGGGAGGTTCATTGAACGGTTCATGGAGCCAAGGAGCGTGGTAGCGCCCTTCATGGATACCATCATCTGCTCGTTGGAACGGACGGTCTGGATGCGCAATGACACAGCTTGGAGCTGGGTCTTCATCTGGTAGAACTTTTGGATATACCTATCACCTCCCCTAGTGAGAAAGCTCCCCAACCGCGACATTGCCGTAGCAGTGACGAAAATGTGGTAACGAATTACCTTCGTGTGCGGACGAGGTCCTTCGCTTGAATTTTGCATGCTCCCATTTGCCCATTCTTGGCCGAGCGCTTGATATCAGCAATAAGCTTCTTCTCTTGTTGCTCCAGCTTCATGCGTTCCCTGTCGAGTTCTCGTTGAGCCTTTTCGAGGGCTCGTTGATGCTATTGCCGGGAGGCCGTGGTTAGCATGATAAAGCAATCTTAGGGGCAGGTACCTAGAAAACAAACCTTTCGGAGCCTCTCGGCAGGTGTCTGGCGCCGCCCAAAAGCCCATTCTATGATCCCACTCATTGTAAACTTATGGAGGTGCGTTGAAACAGGCGGGAGAAGGTGGTGAAGTTGAGAACCGTAGGGCAAAGTGGCGATGGGTTGCTGAGCCAAATGTTGTAGGTCGTGGAGCAGTTCGTCGCCAAAGGTTGGTTTTACCTTGATTACATCAGATTTGACGCTCACACGTGACTGATTTTTCGGGAGATTATCAGATAAGTGGATTAGTCACTAGATCCCGACAATTTTGAATCGCGATGGCAAAATTTCAGAGAGGCCCCCCTCCGAGGCGGCTTCAAGCGACCACTTCTCCGCCCTCATTCATTTCCTTGCTTCTACCATTCCAATCCTTTTCTCTATTCTGATTTCACCTAGCTTTCTCCTTTGTCTTTGCTCTTCCTGGTACCTCCTCGTTTTTCACAGCTATCTCGGCGGACACCGTTCAGCAGCTTTTGTTTGGTGCCACTTCTTTCTCCGGGGCCGTCATGGCTTCTCAGATTCCTGTGGGCCTTGTTCTTCAGGTATGTTACCTCTTGCCTCTTTGCACCTCCCCGCACTTGTATCGCGGAATTCTAATTCCAAAGCGATCCAGGGCTTACAAACCGCTCCTCCGGGATTGCTTTTTCATCTCTCGACCGCGATCACGTCTCCTTGGTCTTCGGCAAATAAAGCGGTTCAGGCTACAAAAGCGCCGTCTGGTATTAGTGGAAAATCCGCGACCCCGGTGAAGGTATTATCCGGTGCTGGCGTTCTGGTTGATAGAGAGATATTTCATCCTGACGTATGATGATTTCTAGCATTCCACCACGGAACTACCCGATTTTATGAAAGCTTATCCGGAGCTACGATCACCTCGATATACTGGGCCACCTCTGCTTGCGTCCGGCATCCTTCAGTCTGGTGGGTTTCATTTCTGCCTATCGCTATTTGATAGTTTTTAATTGAAAATCAGCCTTCGGAAAACCCGATGTTCAGCCATGGTCCACTACTTTTTCGTCGGTTCCTGGCACTTCGCGGCACTTCTCTACTCTTCCGGTCTTCTCTTTTCGTCGCATCCTCCCGCCGGTGCCTAAACCTGTTACTCGAATCCAAGCTCGTACTTTTATTCTTCCCGGTCCCTCTCAACAGATCCTGTATCGAGCGGAGCAAGCTGCCAATGCTGCTCCGCAGAGTGCTGTTGCCCAGGAAAAGTTTTACGACACACTGCTCCGTGCCAACCTTCCACAATTCGTCATCGATCGTTACCAAGCTGGGCAATATGCTACGAGTCGGGCTTGTGAGGACAAATACGTCAAGGCACTTGAAAACACTGGTCAGATTGAAAAGGCTCGCATGATCTTGGATAGAAGGAATGAAATCGTGGAGAATAATTCTTTGACAAATGGAGAAATTCAGGCTATTAGTCAAGCTATTGCTGCCCAATCTCGCGGTGGAACCTTTGCAACTGGCCGTGGCGCCCCTGGAAATGCTGGCTATGGTCGTGGTGCTGAAAAGGATAGCCCGATTCATGTTGTCGTTGACGAGTCTATCAGTGGTGTTGTGTTCAAATGGGTCAAGTTCCTCTTCTACTTTGGTCTCACTACATATTTCCTCTTAGTCTTCCTTACTCTCGCCATTGAAGCCACTGGTCCGATGAGGAAAGCTACCGGAACCCAATCGAATGAAGCTCAAGCATCTCAGCAAACCGCCCGATTTACTGATGTGCATGGGTGCGATGAAGCCAAGGAGGACCTCCAGGAGTTGGTCGAATTTCTGAAGGATCCTACCCAGTTTTCAACTCTTGGTGGTAAATTGCCGAAAGGTGTGCTTCTTGTTGGGCCGCCCGGAACCGGAAAAACTCTTCTTGCTCGTGCGGTTGCCGGAGAGGCGGGTGTTCCATTCTTCTTCATGTCTGGCAGCGAATTTGACGAAGTTTATGTCGGTGTCGGAGCTAAACGTGTTCGGGAACTCTTCGCCCAGGCTCGTGCTAAGGCACCTGCTATTGTTTTTATCGATGAATTGGACGCCATAGGTGGCAAGCGCAATGAACGTGATGCCGCATATGTTAAACAGACACTCAACCAATTGCTTGTGGATTTGGATGGCTTTTCCCCTAACAGCGGAGTCATATTTTTAGCCGCCACCAACTTCCCCCAACTTCTCGACAAAGCCCTTACCCGACCTGGCCGCTTTGACAGGAACATCAACGTCCCGTTGCCTGATGTCCGTGGAAGAATCGCCATTCTCAAGCACCATGCTAAAAATATCAAGATTGCTCCCGAAATCGATCTTTCCATTCTCGCCAGAGGCACACCGGGATTCTCCGGTGCCGAGCTGGAAAACTTGGTTAATCAAGCAGCCGTTCGGGCGAGTAGGCTGAAGGCTACCAGTGTTGGAATTGAGCACTTTGAATGGGCCAAGGATAAAATTGTTATGGGAGCCGAGAGGCGAAGCGCCGTCATCCCTGAAGAGGAGAAGAAAATGACTGCCTATCATGAAGGGGGTCATGCTTTGGTTGGGCTGAAGACTCAGGGTCACACTCCCGTGTACAAGGTTACAATTATGCCCAGGGGTCAGGCCCTTGGTGTTACTTCATATCTTCCCGAAGGTGACAGACTCTCCATGTCAAAGAAACAAATGATTGCCCACATCGATTCCGCCCTTGGCGGCAAGATTGCAGAGGAGATTGTTTATGGAACTGAGAATGTTACTGGTGGATGCTCTTCGGTATGGTCCGGGTTTTATACTTGCTTACCCTATCAACACGTCGTACTAACAAATTCATCTAGGATCTTCGCCAAGCGACTAGAATCGCCCGCCGTATGGTTATGGAGTTGGGGATGTCCGAACTTGTTGGAGACGTCGACGTATCGGAAGGCTACCAGGATCTCTCCCCAAAGACCAAAGAGCTTGTCGAAAAGGAGGTCCGACGAATTATCGAAGAATCTCGTGCACGTGCTACTTCAATCCTTACCGAGCATCGCAAAGAATTAGACCGCCTTGCGGAGGCGCTCATGGAATATGAAAGTCTTAATCTGGATGAAATGAAGAAGGTTATTTCTGGCGAAAAGCTCCCAGATAAGCTGAAAATCCTCCCTAATGCACCCATCAAGCTCCCCGAGGGTGTATTTGGTGGGCCAAAGTTGGAAGGCGGTCCGGCACCGGCAGGTGGGGTTGGTACAAAGACTGGAGAGAAACCAGTCTAAATCATCCGCCCCCCCTTTGTTTTTTTATAATCCATAATTGTATGGGTGAATGTATCCGTTAGTTACTGCATCTCGCTTTTTCCTTCCACAGCTTCCTTTTTGCACTTTAACCCCCCTCTCACTCATCCTTCTGCTTGTGCGGAACGTCCCTCCACCCAACATTCATTTATAGATTGAGCGCCGGAGACATAACACGAAGAAAGAAAAGGAGGAGAGAGAGGTGGGGGGGGGGGGGGGGGTAGTTTCTAAGCCATGGGTTACTTTTTGCTCTCGTTCCTATGGGAGATGTGTGTTTTTCACTGTTAGGCGCTCATCATTTTTTTATTTTCCTCATCTGTTCATTGGGTTGTGGGAGGGAGGATGTTTCATAAATGGCAAATCACGATTGTGAGGGTTTTGCCTAGGCGCTGGTAACTTGAGTGATATCTCGGGGGGGATGTAGTGTGGGTTTTGTGAGTTTATAGGGTGGGGGATCACGGATAGATGTGTACATTGAATTTCCTTCAGTTGCTGTAAGAAAACTTTTTGCTTTGTGCCATAGGTTATTCTGATACTGGATTTGGGGATCGTAATTCACATATTATGGTGCAAGCAGTTCAAAAAGGGAACTTGGCTGTGCAGAGGGTGTTACATGTGGCTGTGTAAATTTGAATGCCAAGACAGTATACTAAGGGCCTGTTTGGATGTCCATGATATTACAGAGATTCTTGGCGGTTGCAACACAATACTGAGTTTCTTGGCAATCTCTGAGAATCTCAATATTTGGCATGTTTGGTTGTCCACTTCTCAGAGATTGTAATCCCTGTCACATCCCCATAATCTCTGAGATTCAAGTATTACCTCCAGAGGTAAAAATTCCAGAGATTGCACCAAAACCAGTGCAACATCATTTCTTTCACCAGTGTTTAAGTCTTCAGTTTCATGCAACACATCCCACTTTAAGCCTGCCCTTGTACATAGGATTTCCACCAACAATATTTTTTAACTTGGCACCACTAAAATAAATTCCAATCTCTTGATTTCTGTTCTTCAATCCATGGATCCCCAATCTCATGGATTTCAATCACTGGACATCCAAACAGGCCCTAATAGCATATAAAAATTTATTGAAGGGAGGATTTAAGGTATAAGGGTTTAAAGAGACTTTTAATCTATATGTATAGTAGGAACTAATAGGGAAAAATATAGAAATAATATAATAATTAATATTATAAAATAAATTCAGACTTACTAAGCCAATCAATTGTATCTGCCATAACACTTTTCTGTCTTCCTCACCAAAAATACATGTTTTTGAATCCTTAAGGCTCTCCAACCACAATTATATTTGCCAAAAAAAAAGTTTTATATTCTCCTTCATCCACTTTTTCAGAAACAGGGTTTTTTTTCCAGCAATTATATATGATGGTTGTGGAGCCTTAGGGAATTGAAAAACGTGAAATTCCAGGTTCCCTTTTTGAACTGCTGGCACCATATTCTTGTGGTTATTTTGTGGGAATGATTTTCCGCCCTGCTCGTAGGGCCTGGGCACAGTACTTGCGGGAACTGGACCTTAGGTGGTCAGGTAACTTGTGTTCAAGTTCGGTGACCCGAGAAAATTGGCCATTCCGGTCGATAATCTATCTACCTACCAAGGTTCACCCGACGTCGCACCGATTCCACCAAGACGAAAATTTCGAAGCATCCATTTCCTCCTCTTCCCCATCTCCGCTGGAAAAAGAAAAAGAAAAAAAAGGCACCACGGCTTTGGGACACCCTGGATAAAGGACGAAATATGGTGTCAAGTATCGGCGGGAGGAAAGGGTCCGCCCCAAATACTCAATCGGAGACTGAATCACTCCTCCCAACCGCATCCCCTCCACCGCCACTAGCCCCCCACCAGCACCTCCCCAATGGCATAACCCTACGCCTATACCTCTCCCACTTCCTCTCAACCTGGAACTCCCGAGTCTTTGAATTCGGCGCACTCCTGTTCATCGCGAACTTGTACCCGAACACGCTCCTGCCGGGCTCGCTGTACGCGCTGGTGCGCGGCGTCTCGGCGGTGCTGGGCTCACCGCGAGTGGGGCGATATGTGGACTCTGGGGATCGGTTGCGGGTGGTTAGGGTTTCGATCGTTGCACAGAGGATTGCGGTGGTGCTTTCTTGCGGGGGTTTGCTGGTGGTTAGGGGTGGGGTTGGAGGGTTTGTTTGGGGTGCAGTGGTGATGGGGTTTTTGGCGGTGTTGGCGTGCTGTGAGAAGTTAGCTTCTGTGGGGAATCTTATCGCTGTTGAGAGGGATTGGGTTTGTTTGATTTTCCCTTTCTGATCCCTCTTGTAGTGATGGCGGTGGTGGGGTGTGCTGAGTTGGGGTTTTGCTGGTGTTTATAGGTTGTTGTAGTTGCTGGGGGTAATGAGGATGCACTTCAAGGTATCATATTTGCTTGGCTGTTTGCTTTCTGGCGGGGTGCGGTGTTGCTAATCTAAAGAGTATGTATAGTCTTGAATTCCCAAATGCGCAGGATTGACCTGTTCTGCAAGTTGCTTGGCCCATTGGCGGTTTCAATGGCCGATGGGATATCCACTGTCGTGGCGATATATGTCGTCCTGGGATTGAATTTGGTGTCCGTTGGCGTGGAGTACTTTGCCATTGCCGGTGTCAGTTTAATGCTCGAAGTATACTACTTAATTTTGTATTTAACTAATAACATGGCAGGTATACCGCAAGTTCCCGGCCCTTCAGGAACCCAGGCCACACCAACCTTCCACCTCCGCGTCCTCCCCGGAGGAGCCAGTCGAAACGCTATTGCGGCCGTGCTCACGGCTCCGCAGTATATGCGCTCCCATATCAAGATACCTCCACCACTCTGCTGCCCTCCCGTCCATCGCTTTGTCAATCTTGTACTTCACTGTCCTAAACTTCGGTGCGCAGATGGTAACCTACCTGCTAGCTTCTGGCTACACCCCACTGCACATTAGTAGTCTCCGCGGCATTTCAGTCCTCTTGGAGATCTCCGCGACCTGGCTCGCGCCTCTGGTAATGTCACGGGTAGGCCCCGTCCGCGGTGGCCTCTGGTCCGTGAACTGGCAACTCCTATGTGTCGCCGGCGCCGTCGGCGCATTCCTATTCTTGGAGAGCCCAAGGATGGCAGCCGGCGGGTTGATTCTCGGGGTCATACTGAGTAGAATCGGACTCTGGGGGCTCGATCTATGTGTGCAGATTATTGTCCAGGATGTTTGGTTTCCCCTCCTCTTCCTTTGTATCGCTGTTGAGCGGCCGCTGATAATTAGGGGAAACGAAAATAGGAAGTGGAGCCAGAATATCGAGGATCCTTCTCCGCCATGGAAGCCTCTGTGCAGAATACCTTTGAGCTGGGATCGTACGCGATGACGGTGATGCTTCCTAGGCCGGCGGAGTTTAGGTATCCGGTTGTCGTGAGTGCCGTGGCGGTAGTTCTCGCTGCGGCATTGTTTGCCGGCTTCGTGAGGAGGAGGAGAGGCCATCTTGTACATACCCCCGCGTGCTTTGGCAGGGTGGAGCCTAAGCATAGGGTGGGGGGGGAGCATCGGAGGTTGGTGAGCTGAGTGAGAGATCAGGGAATGTCCTTGGCGGAAGTGAGGATATAATTGGGTGCCTGGTCTAGAAATCGCCGCTGCGTGGCTTTGAACAATGCATGAGTGTAAATTGGCGGGTAGCTAGTTGTGTGCCAGGGGGGTTAACCGAGATTGGAGATGTAGTAAATATGGAATGCTTTATGGTGCAAATGGCCCGATATATAGACATGCAATCTCTCGCCACAACACTATTGCTATAAACCGCCCTCCCCTCCACACACAAAATAGTGCTCCACCGAACTGTCACTGCATCCATGGACCCTTCCCACACTCCCCTGTCTGTTGAAACATGCTTCTGACACTACTAGTAACGGGTATTGTGGTATCATTCAGACTATTACTTTTTCTCCTTACATCGATTCGTACCCCAGGCACACATCTAGGCCTCCGGTACTATTGAAGATACCTCCTTGCATTTCTATTTACTTTTCTTTCCTCTGCTATTGTTATTGTTCGCTCAACCTAATTGTCTCGCTCACAATAGTAGATAGTAAGAGCTTCTCGCTCTTCCTTTCTAGAGAATCAAGCATTCATCGTTCTCAATCATACGTACAATCTTCTTTGCCGTGCAAAACACTTCTCACCATACTCTCACAATACTGTCAGTCACCCAAGGAGCGAGTGACACTTGGTGACTGCGCCCAGATAAGTTACCCCTTCCAGCCCACCAGAAAATCCACCTAGCATATCATAGCTGCACAGTCCCAGCGTATGAACCAGCTCACATGGAAATTCTCCCTAGGCGGCAACGCGACTTTCTACAGGGTCTAACTTAGGATCCGGTATTATTATTTTTTTTTGTTAAATCCTCAATTTATTCGCAGCGTAAACCACAGGAAAATCACAGCAAGCACCCTAAGGTATGGCCAGAAAACCCTATTTAAACATAAGAAAAACCCCCCCTCCAATAAACAAATATAACGGTAAAAACTTAGGATCCGGTACCAAGTATCATACTTGTACTTGTATCATAGTCAATTTAAAAGCAAAAAAAAAAAAGTCTCTGTGTATCTATCACATTCCAACGTCGGAAGAAAAAAAAAGGATAAGTTAACGTAAAAAAATCTGTTCCTTTCCTTTCCTTCTTTCTGGTACTGTATCGCGCGGGATGTGTGTTTACGGGAACTCCCGGGTTCTAGGTGCCGGTGGTAGTATTAAGGTTTAAGTTGCGCATGCGATGGGAGTGTCTGCGTCGTGATTGGTGGGATGTTATGCGCCAAGTACTTGTAAACTATCGTTACGATGTGTTTGTAGAAGGGGGAAGGGGCAAGTTGGTTAGCGGGTGGATTGCTAGGGGTATGGGATATTGCTTGTAGGTTCGCTGGTAGGGGGTGCTGCAGAGGGCTGTGGGTCGTTCGGCCGCTCTTGGCTGGTTGAGGTGGGATACGAGTGGTTGTAGATGGGGAGTTTATTTCACGGGTATGATATCATGAAAGGCTGTTTACTGTATTAATTTTTATTGATGGGTGTCATAGGACTGGGAAGTTTGGACAGCCCCCAACCTCAGATTCAAGCTCACGCCTGGAGGTTAGGGGGGCGCAAGAGCATCTTTTGGGCCTTGCCCATAGTGGAGATTAATTACTGCCCTACCTTAATTAACAGCTAGCTTTTGCGTCGCTATTCACGGGTGTCAGGGATGCTTCTGCTTCGTTTTATTCTTTCTTTCTTCTATATATCTAAACAACTCTCAGGTCTATAGTTTGGGGAGAGGGAAAAGGGTGGGTAGAGGATGACTAAATAAAGAACCAATGTGTAAAGAGGATTTATAACCGGAGGACAATAATAAATGTGAATATTATGGGAAATTCAAGCCACACCAGCTGAGCTCACTGCAGTAAGGGTAATCGCCCACAAATGCCAATCTCTATATCATAAACAGAATCACAGAATCCCTGAATCGAAAACGGGAGAAAATCGGCATAGAGGTTTAGACAGGCACGTGCTAGATATATGCATTCCCGTTGCGTATAGTTTCCTTCGCCCAGAAGGAGCTATCAGTGTTTGAACTGAGGTTCCGTGGCACGCTGATCTGGAAGGAAGGGAGAGCCGATATTTTTCTCGAGCCGAGGTCATAGATTATGGGAGGATGTTGGGCGAGAGTGAGGAAGGAATGGCAAGAGAGCAACGAACGTGTTTATGGGGTTGTGCCGGAAACGGCGCATAGGTTATCAGCGCTCGAAGGCTGTGCTGAGGGGGGCAGACTACTGGGCTGTAGTAGCGCCATCACCCCCGCATGACCGCACTTAGAGGCCCACTGGAGTGGTGTCTGGCCGGCCTCATCGGGTTTGTCCGGGTTGACGTCGTTCCTTCCGAGCAGTATTTCTACTACGGTACTCTCTCGTGCCCATTCCAAGCAGCACAATAGAGTGGTGTTTGACCATCATTATCTGGTATATCAGGGTTGACGTCGCCCCGTTTAAGCAGTATTTTCACCACTCGCTCATGCCCGTTCCGGGTAGCACAAAAGAGTGGTGTTTGGCCATCGTTATCTGGTTTGTTGGGGTTAATGTTGCCCCATCCAAGCAGTGTTTTCACACCCTCCTCGTGCCCATTCCAAGCAGCACCGGAGAGGGGCGTTTGGCCGTGGTTATTGCCCCGTCGGAGTAGTATTCCCGCCACTTCCTTGTGCCCATACGAGGCAGCCCACCAGAGCGGTGTTTGGCCGTTCTCATTTAGTTTGTCGGGATTGACGTCTCCTCGTCTGAGTAATATTTCCACCACTCCCTCGTGCCCATTCCGGGCAGCCCAGACGAAAGGCGTATTTCCAGTGCAGTCTTTTTGGCCGATATCACGATCTTCTATCTCTGCTAAAAAGGCTACAATCTCAACGATCCCGAAGATGGATGCACAATGTAGAGCACTGAGTAGGAACGGTTTATCGAAATCAACATCGTACGGATACGGCTCCTGTGCTTCCAAGATGATTTTGTGGATACGTGGTCATTGAAACCATCAAATAACTCTAGAGCAAGTAGTTTCGCGCAATCTGAAAGCCCCCTTTTCGCGTGGATACCCCAATACAGAGTAGAATATTCGAGAAAGGGTGTGCCTTTGAGATCAGGAGAGGAACTGGGCGAGAGAACCTTGACCTTCTGGGAATTTAGATAGCTTAGGCGGGTTTCTGCCATTGTCGAGTGGGCTGTACTAAAAAGCTCGGGATGGGTCCGGAGGTACTCTTGCGGGGTAAAATGGATTAATCGAACCGTAGAAGCCTCCTTGTCTACGGCAACAAGTCCTTGACAACAGGCCAGCGATGTCCCTATGGAAGAAACATTGTCGACATTGAGATTCGGCGACCCTATTTCGACAGCCGGGGCGTGGCGTAGTTCATCCGCCTTCAAGGGTCGCTCCGATTGAGAGATCCACATCAAGGTAGCCATGCCGAGTGTCGATTTTTTTTCTTTTTTCCCTACCCTGTCCCTTTATCCGATCCAGAGTTGTACCATAAGCTTCCTCTAACCCCAAGCCATTGGTCATTTCACTGAGATTTTGTCGCCTACGGTGGATTGTGGTTTCCTGTAGGATCGCATCAATATTCAACGAGACCAGCAGGAATCTAGATATGATTCTGTAAGTGGTTGACCCGAAGCAGCTCCCCTAATGTCCTCGCTTCTACGTACATCTCAGAAATATCTTCAGGGATTCTCTTCAGGATGTCTGCCTCCAGACTACTGTCCATCGCATCCGGGGTCGTGTCTTCGTGCATCCTGGGATGAAGATGATTGATTATATCACCTCTCCTTGGGCTTATGGATACGCTCGCTACCCTTTCAGCAAGACACCTTCCAATCTCGGGTCGAATGTGTGGCCTCCCAGTCATGAATATTCGAATGCCTGGAGACTTTCGAAGAATTTGATTGAGCGAGTCAAGAAGCTTGACTCGATCCCCTACCGCACATTCGTCTAGAGCATCAATGCATATGAACGTGCGTTTTTTGGAAGAGGTAGTCTGTAACATCTTTACAATATCGGAAAGCCGCGGCCCCCGCCCACCAATGGCATTTCTTTGGCCTCGGTATGCTCGTGTTATCTCCTCCGGGGTCTCCTCCAGTCCGCAAACCAGCTGTCTCAGCAGGGCGCCCAGCATGCTCGTGGGGGACTGTTCTTTTTGGGCGGCCAAGTCAAAATAAAATCATGCAATCACAGCACTTTGTCCTCCAGCCTGATCACACAAGCTGTCTATCACTAGTGAGCTAACATCGCTACCTGTCAGCGCTTATTGCCTATTTTTCCTTGAGGGTCGTCCATGTTACCTGATATAAGTTTTGCCGACCCCGGGATCTCCATAGCAAAACAAAACTGCGTTACCGGATTCACCCCCGTCACTATCTGCACACCACCTTCTAAATTCCTCAATTTGGAAGAGCCATTCCCCTACATTTTCAAATCTGCGGCCTTGAATGTCCTGGTGCCTTAACTTGGGATCAAGTGGGGATAGGCAAGCAAGGATATTAGGTAGGTCATTGGAAACAGTGAAGTTATTCACAATCGTATTCAAAGAGTTGATATTGTTACTGAAAGATTGGGACATTTTCTGTTTTTCGCTGCTTGGGGTATTGCGGATGATGGGTGGTGGAGTCAGCCGACCGCTGGAATTCACGGCGGCTGAGGGAAAGCGGGCTCTCTTGTGGAACCTCGTGGGTGTCTCGGGACCGCCCAATCAACCCCCCCAAATCTGTGCCAGAAACACCCTGCCTGTGCCTACCGCATCTGTAACAGGACATGCCACACCTCTCGAAGTGTTATCTTGCATCACAGATCTCGCGTCCCGATGAACGAGCACTGTAGAGAGCCTGAGGCGGAATCGACCAGCCTGGTATATACATAAATACATCAAACCTTATGAGTGAATCAGCTGAAAGACCTGCATACCACCTAGTGTAGCGCATCACAGCATAGTTCTTCGTGATGCGGATCCCGGGCGGAAAATTCTTCCTTCAGCCTCGTACCAGGTTCTAGGAGGAAATGGGCCACCCACAGCCTGAGGTATAAGTTGGTCGCCAGTGGCAACAAGGCAATCACTCTCCCCTGACAGCCTTAACGATGGGAGAATTACGTTGATATTGCTATTGCCCACGGATCAAATATGCCTGGAAACCGATATCTCTGGTAACGCTGAGAGGCTCTGGGGAGCAAATTCAATTCTTACAAGTAGGGTGTAGAGGAGCGGTTGTTTGTGCATAGGTAAAGGTCGGGGGCAGACTTGTGATGTTTGTGAGTATCATACCGGTACTTGTCCGGTGCAGTATCGCGGCAGGTTATGATCTGATACCCAATATTTTTCACGGTTGGGGGTAGGTTCGTCAACGGATACCGTGCCACGGCTACCCTACTTTAAATAGTACCGGAAGAATCCTTGGATAGCCTTCTATCAGAGCCTCGGATAATTTAGGATCTAGGCTCTACACCGCTAAACTAACGAGCCAAGATTTCAGCAGAAATCCGCGGTGAACCAACTCAGAGAGCTTACAGTGTGGACGGCGCTCCTAGTGTATACCACACTGCTGTTATTACTGTTCTGTGCCCCAGAGCATAGAAAGAACTGTGACCGGTACAGCGCGCACAAATAAAATTCGACTCTGTCCCAGCCTATACTAGATACTACTATTCGAGTATCATACACCTGAGCGTTGTTATATCAAGCTAGGTGCCTAGGTATCGCCACCACCCATTCCTCGGCTGTTCCATAACGCCGCCACAGACCATCACCCGCCCCAGTACAGGGATCCGAATGCTGTATTATACCGGTGTAGGCTAACCTCCAGTGGAAAGAAAGAAAAAAACGATTGAAGAATGGTTCACGGAATTCTGGAGCTCCGATTAGTGACCCGAACTAATCCCATCGATTCCTATTATACCTTTCTAACCACTGTTGCGACACGATACAATACAATACGATAATTTAACAATGCGGCGCCCCCTCCTACAGTGTACTCCATACAGTAATTTACCACAAACATACCAGATACCTCCGACGAGGCCAGCACAGGAAAAAAGAAAAAAGAAAGAAAACTACTCCAGATCTCGGTGGACATCCACTCGAGTATCACAAGAGCGGATAAGAAAGATCCACATATAGCGTACAAAAAGAACAGAAGAAACGGGAACCAAGTCTAGGTTTATCAACACACGGTCGGCCCCCACGTTTCTTGGGCAAGAAGAAAACTCCTGAATCCCAAGTTTTCTCCTCCCTAGCAATAGCGACACCATAACTAGAGCGACTCGACTCAATTCTTTTTCCTTCCCGCGATAACCTTTTTCCACTGGTACTGTACCGTAGCCCACGTGCCTTAAAGCGTGCTTTATTCCTCAGTGTCCTATAGTCTGCTCGTGAGTTTGGGGCCGAGGTCGTTCTTCCAAACGCAACTGAATATCTCAATTTCACAACATATCACTCGCTCCGATTCTCTTTCGGAGTTTGCAAATTGTTCAATTAATCTCTCCCCCCCGCGTTCGCTCGACGCATATCCATTGCCTTATAATACAGTACAGCCAATTCATTCTCCCCTGGTTAAGAATAAACATCGCAAAATAAAAATAATAAAAAAATACATGTATCATAATATTATTCACCCCCTCGGCTCCGCATCCTGCCCGCTCTCCGGTGCCGGGTTCATGGTATCCTTCTTTTCCTCATTGTGCTTAGTGGACTCGGGCCCTGCGCCGCCGCTTTCTTCTTTGGCTCCGGAGGTGCCCTCTCCTTGTTGACTGTCTTTCGCGTGGTTTCCTGCATCAGCTGCTTGTTTGTCTTCTGTACTCCCGTCGTTATCCTCATCTTTCGGCTTCGACTTTGCAACTTTTTTGTTCTTCTCTTCGGCCTCCTGTTTCCTTAATTTTCTTCGGCGCTCGTCTTCTTCCTTCTGGAGGTTCTCCCATTGCGAGTCACGAAGATTTTGGAGGTAGCTTGCTGGGCCGGGCACTTTGCTGACCTCGTCTCCGATCTGGAAGGCCCGGGGTAATTAACAAGGACCTGATGGGATGTGGGTATGGGTGGATACCTGTCCTCGACCTATCAAGGTGCCGACAATCGATGCACCGACAATAAAGGTCAAAATAAACCTGTATGTCATATACCATGGTGGGGCCCACCCCCACCCGGTCGCCGTTGAATCTGCGAAATACATGCCCGTGAACCCGATAAACTGGGTAATTAGTGCATAGTCGAACGGTAGCAATGCCTAACGGTACCACATGAGTCCAAACCATCCCTCAAATAAGGCTTATTGAGGCAAAACATACTGTTGGCCACGCCAGCGCCGGCGCAAGGATGCTCAACGCATACCTCCGGTATCCGTGCTTACCCCCATACTCCGCCATCTCCAACCCCCAATGCACGGCTCCCAAGAATGACAAAATAACAGCGCCAAGCCCAACCTGCAGCGGCTCCGCAAAATTCAATACCAGCTCAGCCGTTTCCGGACTGACCAGGTACCCAATCCCATTATGATGCGCATAGTTGATATCCCAAGCCAAGTACAGAGTCGACACCGATATCCCCGCGTACGGGAACGTGCCCCCAAGCCCAATGTAATAAACTTCCTTGGGGACTTCCCTTAGCGCGAAAGTTTCTTTAATAATATGCTACACCACGCAATCAACATTTCCCTCTACCCAGTAGGAGCAATGGCAGGGGAGATACAAAATCCGACTTCAACCCCCTAAGCATGTCCGTCTCGCCCGGGGGGTCCCCCCCAGGCGGTGCCTTCTTCTGACCTCCGAAAATGGGGGTCATTGAGCTGGTCGTGGTAACCTCTTCGGGGTGCGCCTCGAGTTTCTTCTCCCGCGCTTTCTTAAATCCCGCCTCTAGCTTGGCCGCCTCTGACTTCACCTTGTTGGTTTTTGGCGCTTGCTTCCATCTTGGAGAAAGGCTTGTGAACGGTTGAATGCGTGCTATCAATGAGTGGGGTGTCGACGCGCGCGAGAGGCCCAATGGGGGTTTCTGTGCGAGGGCAGGTGACCGGAAGGGGGGCAATCCGCTAGAGAAGGTCCGCCAGGAATTCGGAAGGAGGAGTGACCGGGTTACACCGGCTGTTGGTGTTTTGCGAAACATCATTGTGTATGGGCAGCCAGGGGAGAGGTGGGAATTTTTTGGGCTTTGAATTTTTGATTGTATTTATCTCCGGGGAATTGGGGGTACTCTACGAGTACTTGGCACTGTAGCACGCATTTAATTTACTTGTCTAGCTGCTTGGTTTGTGGTTGAGTTTGTGAAAGAAGGGAATTTTGAAATGGTGGTTGTAATTCTGACGTCATCACGTGTCTATCAATGAATCCGTTGAAAGTTGCCTCTCGGCCCAGGCTGGGAACACATGCGGCAGATCAAAGTTGGGCATTTGGTACGATATGATAATACTCGAGCACCGGTAGTCTACCGGTAATTGGGCTACACCGGCGGATGGATATTAGAGCTTCGGATTTCCGGCTCGGTTATGATTCTCCTGCTGGTGAGGGTATCAGATTGACCTGGCGAAAGTTGCAAGTGCCAGTGATCCCTTGTGATTCTCGCGGTAGAGATTACCCTACCGGTACTGGAGTATGATACGATACCGGTAGTCTGTCCATCGTCAATCCGGTCCCAGATCAAAGTCAGGTGTTCCGCCAAGATGTCCCCACCCACCCCACTAATCCTCACTCACACCGCCATAACCTCCCTCCTCACATCCCTCCCAGCACCCACAATTCACAACATCATCACCTCCTTAACCGCGTCCCTACAAACCCTCACCCAGCCCTCCCCCTCCTATAGCGGGATCCCTCCCACTCCTGTAATAACTCAACCCCCTCGCCAAACCCTCCAGAATAATGCCGCCGCCAACTACACAACCCTCATCATGCCCTGCTCAACCCCAAGCCTAACATCCATAAAATCCGTAACCCTGCCAACGCCACCAACACCTCCATCCCCGCCGAACGGCATAATCACGCTACAGGACGCTGCGGGAAGATTGCTTGCAGTTCTGAACGCGGAGGAGATCACCGCCTTCAGGACAGCCTGTGTTAGTATCGTGCTGCTGCTTGGGAGGATCAGGTATGGGGCAGTCGTGGAGAGGGCAGTGATATTTGGCACGGGGAAACAGGCAGAGTGGATTTCGAGGCTTTTGCTCAGGTTGTGCCCTAATCTGAAGGGGCTGGCTATTATCGGGCGGGAAGGGAATGGCCCGGAGAAGATGGAGGCATTCGTGGATAAATTCCGCAGCGGGGCGGAATCCGATACGGAAATAGGCTGGAAAACATATGGCGGGGGAATTGATCGGGAGGTCCAAAATGAGCTCCGTGAGGCGGATGCAATATTCTGCTGCACGCCGTCGGCGGTGGAGTTGTTCCCTGTGGAATTCCTCACGGATGAGAAGGGGCGATATATCTCCTTGATCGGCTCGTATACGCCGCATATGAAAGAGCTTAGCCCCAGGTATTTAGGGAGGGAGTCTGTGACTGTGGTTGTGGACTCTGTCGAAGCGTGCCTCATTGAAGCAGGGGAGGTGATACAGGCTGGGCTCGGGGCGGAGGACTTGGTGGATATTGGGAGCGTGGCTAGCGACTTGAGTCATGGCCTTGGTGAAAAATACCTGGGTGACGTGGTGTTTAAATGTGTTGGACTGGCGATCATGGATCTCATTGCTGCAGAAGAGATTGTCAAGATTGCCAGGGAACGGAAGGTCGGGGTTGAGATACCAGGGTTCTCTGGGTGAGGAGTCCATTCGACATCCTTCAGAAGGACATTGCTTTGCTTTAGGTGCATACCGGATACATTCAAGAATTAAGCTTGTTAAGATACTATACGGAGGGAAACATTCAAGTCAAGATGGGGAAAAAAGTGTTCCCCGCAACCGAAAGGACGGAGCTGTAATAGCACAGATGAGGGGATAGATTAGATACAATAACCCAAGAAGTTAATCGTGAGAACGAATAATCCACTCAGACAAGTTAGGTATAGATATAAAAAGACAAACGGTAAACAAATCCGGTTACGAGAACGAAGGAAAGGTATTCAAGAGCTTGCAAGGCAAGGGAGAGGATAGAGATCACGAAAAAAAGGCGCCCCAACCATATTCCACCCCCCTCTTTTTTCTGCTCCAATAGTATTCCTACCTATTGGATATTTCTTATGTATATTGCCCACCGTGGTTATCATTTCTATAGAATCCCCATATGTTATTAAGGCCCAATCCTCACATGCAGACCTCCAGGATATATAATATCAGAGTGGCAGCTATTAGTTCGGGTGGTGAGATGGTAATGGAGGTTGGGTGGGACAAGTGGAGAGAAGAGGGGTAAAGGAGAGGGGGGGGAGGTGTCCGGGGGAGGCGATAGTGGAGATTATTGTGTAGAGGATGTAGATGCGGATATGTAGCCCGTTCGTTGGAGTTGCTCTTTCTTGAGATTGCGTACAATTCCTTCCAATCTCCGGCGTTCGTCATGTTCCGCCTACATCACGCGTCAGTATGCTCTATGCCTGGAGAACCAGAAGCGGGAGGGAGAAGGAGAGGAAGAAAAAAAAGGGGGGGGATAGGGGGCTATTGTGACATACTCGCAACACTTTTGTTTGCTCGGCCCTCATATTTCTCGTCATCTCCCTGAACTCATTCCTTAGAACTGTCGTGCTGATGTTTTCCCCTGGGATATCTCCAGCATGTCTTCCGCCGCGCTTTCCATCATTAGGAGTGCGAACACCCAACCAGCGAACTCTCTCATCCGCCAGGTTTGTTTCGAGATTCTCACATTTGGTCCGAAGACTATCGACAAGGGCTTCTAGCTTCATACGCTCACTCTCAAACTCGATCGATTGCTTAGTGAGGTTCTCGAAATCAGCAAGCATGCCATCGAGCTCGCTTTGGAGGAGCTTGCAGCGTTTTTCGAGGTTGCTGTCGGTGGATGGCGTGGTCTTCTCAGCTTTCAATTGGGCAATCTCTACCATCAACTCATGGTTCTTCATGGCGAGAGCTTCGACCTCCTGCAGAAGACCAGGATCTACAACCTGTGGCCGGTTGCCAGCCGCCTCCAAAGCTGCTGCGGCAGCTTGAGCCTGCGCTGTCTCTGCCGCCCTCTGTTGTCTCGATCCATAGGCTGAATCGAGCTCGGCCTTGAGTAGCGCAACTTTAGTACTCAATTCCGCAACTTTGCCCTCCAATCCCCTCATTTCTTCATCCATCTGAGCCATCTGCTGCTCCTTCTCTGCCATCTCCTCTCTCATCGCCGTTTCCTTCTCCAAGTGTTGCCCCTTCCCTTCTTCTACGTTCCTCCTAGCCTCCTCCAAAGCCGCAATTTCTCCTTCTAACCTCTGCAGCCGCTCATTATTCTCTCTGGTTAGAATGCCGAGTTCCGCCTTGGCAATATCTCTGTCCTCTCTCACCTCGTCGAACTGGATTCGGAGCTCAGTGAGCTCCTCCTCCCTCTCCCTAATCTGAGCAATAAATCCTTCCTCCGCCTCCACCCTAGCTTGTTTCTCAGCCTCTAACGCCATCGAGTCCTTCCCACGCCCAGCATTGTCCTCCATGATTCTTTGTTGGTCCTTTCTTCGCTGAATATCTAGTTGCTCCATTACTGCAGTGAGCTCCTCCCTCGCATTTCTAGCCTCCTCCCTCTTCTCCTGCACTTCAGCATGAGTTGCATCTAGCTCGTTCATCAAGTGCTTTATTTTTCCGCTCGCTGCCATAATATCGCTTTCCCGTTGGTTAACGATGTTTGCAAATTGTTCTAGCTGGCTACCGAGTGTCGAAAACTCTTCATTGAGATTATCTACTCTGGCGCGATGCTGTTCTTTTAGTCCTTCGGTCTCGGTCTCAAAGTGCACTCGCTGCTGGTAAACCTTTTGCCGCAGCATCGATCTCTCAGCGTAAAGTTGTGTTGCCCGAGTGTAAAGCGCCTGTACTTTTGCCGAAAAGGCTGATATTGAGAATTCTCCAGCCTCTTCATCGCCGAGCTCATCCTCTGACTTGGGATAATCGTTCGCGGCTGGATCATGTTCTTTTGCTCTTCTTTGGCTCCGGATTTCCTCTTCACCCATCACCAGCATGTCCCATAGGGTCGATAGTATGGCTTCAGTTCTTTCAAGATCATGAGCTGGTTTGGGTGTTCCGGGGCTCGGTGGGGGGTGGAAGTTGCTTTGTTGTAGAACTTTAATATTCTGTTCTAATAGGGCGAGTTGTTCGGGTAAACGGGTGCTGTTCAAGGTACCATTAACAGGAACATGGCCGGGAGGGGGCAGTGCTTGGTTAGTGGTGAGTTGGATCAGCACAGTCCGTAGCTGGCGGTTGGCCTCCTCGAGGCGGCGTGCAGTATATGGATCGTCGCTAGGGGTGGAACCTCTTGGGGAAGAGGGACGTGCATCTCCACGCTGAAATCTGCTGCTCTTGTCGGCTGGTGGGTTTTGGTCAAAAAACCCAAATTCGTCTAGCTTATCGGGAGTCCGGTAAAAGCTACGGTCGTCGAATTCAACATTCATGGAAGACATTGTGCCCCTCCTGTTGACCGAACTAAAGGTACCTGAAGGGGAGTTTGGGGAGGGTGGAAGCTTCGGCAAGTTTTTGACGCCACCCTGGTGCGTCATGCCCAGGATTCCGGCTCCGTGCTGCAATAATCTCCGCTGTATTTCCACGGCCCTATTGTTCAATCGCCAAAGTTCCTGTGACAGCTCCTCACATTTCCTGTTGCTTGCCATTAATTCCTCGTCGGTATGCTTCGTAACGTCACTAACGCCGCCCAGCAAGGACCGCCGTTGTCTGCCCTTCTTCGAGTAGAGCCTGCTTAGGGACAGGGCGGCATCGCGAACCTTGGATTCTAAAGCGAGCTTCCGTTTTGATGCGTCGATGCGATTGGCGAGGAAATTGTATTCCTTCTTGAGCTCGTCCACTTCTTCATAAGAAAGAATTTCATACTCGGTAGAGTCTACTATGGCAGTTTCGACCAACAAATGCATTGCCATGGGATCGTTAACGTTCAGAAGTGCTGAGGATCGCGGCCGGGTCTTATTTAACTATAAGAAAAAGAAGGTTAAGCAACTGCTATATTGAGACAAGTTTAATTGAAATTTGGGCTGTCACAGCCGCACTACGAAAGAAGTCATCACGAAAGAAGACAAAATAAACCGGGCGGGGAAAATAAGGGGAACAGAGGAGAGGTCATTCTCACAGCATTAAATCGGGGATGGGACTCTTCATTTGGCGATGAGAAGTGTTTTTCGAGTATATGCGATGGTGGACAGCTATTCGTGGCCGCCGAAGCGTATCTTGGACCACCGTTACGCTGGTCGGACCCATTTGTGGAAGGGTAGAGGGGCTTCGCGGAGCCCATGCCGTTCAACATGGCGAAAGGGAGGGCCAGTGTTCAGGGGCTGGCCACTTGGACACAAAGTATCTCGGAGGGCAGTCGGAGTGAGTTTTGTCACAAAAGGGAGGCTGTATTGAGAGAGCGATAATAATATCCGACTAATAGTAGTGAAACATTCAAGCCCGGGAATGCGCGAGCGCGGTGCACCATACCAAACGGCTGTAGTCGACGAGCACTGCTGCGAGCAGAAGGGGTAGGTGGGAAAGTAGGTGACAGGCACAGGCAAGGAAACGGGTAGGGTAAGGTAGGGAGGAGGGGAACGGGGAGAGGTGTGCGTTGTGTGAAAGAGGAACGGTGATGGAGGGCACTAGAGGCGGCCAGACGATTCACTGTGGCTTAGCCTGGTTAGTCAGTGACACTGCCAGCTGAGGCTATACTTGGTGCATCCAAACAGGGCAACCACCATGCGCTTGGTCAAGGCAACAGAAAACAAAAACGGGCAGATAGTCTACCGGTATGATAAGATAGGGAAGGGCAGGGATGAAGGGTCTTGGCGATTTTCCTTTAGAACTTGTTTCCGCTTTTATACTCGTACTTGTTGGTTACTTTTCCTTGCTTCTTTTTTTTTTTACTGGTGTCCATTGGGGAGGAAGGGGGTGGGGTGGGGTCTGGGTCTTTTGAAATGGAAAAAAAAAGAACGATATTCGAATTGTTTGGATTTTCCCCGGCGCCGCGTATCATAGTAAAGTTCGGGAAGTATTTAATTGGTGCCGGGACAACGGCCTGTTTTCACTTTTCCATCGTGTGTATTAGGGACCCCGGAGGGTCACCTGGGCTGAGCGCACCATGGCGGAGATTTTTGTTTGAACAACACTATGCACATTCCGATCCGTACTTATGCGTTAGGAATGCAGGGTTAAGTTTGCTCGACTGTGCGTAAGTATAGCGCGTTTGAGGCGATAATAGTGTGTTGCCGGACGGTATGGTGCGAGCGCGGATAGCTAGGTCAGTTAGACTATAAGATCTAGCTGCTGTTCTGTTCATTACAAAAAGTTGTTTCTATTGAGGAGAGAAAAGGAGAAAAAAAGAAACAATTGGTATCATTCCGGTGAGATAGAGGATCAAGAGAGCGAACGAAAATAAGCGAGTGGAAGTCGTTTCCTAGGAGCAGAAGGGGGCGTCTAGAAAAAAGCAAGAAATGCTACTTCTCAGAAGTATGATACGTAGACCTGAAAGCTCACTGCGCAGCCTTCTGCCCCAGTTTCTCTCTCCAAGACATTCTCAGCCCCTCCATCTGTTTCCAGCACTCTCTGCCGAGCTCCTCGAACTCGGGCCTGTTCTCCTCGCCCTCGACATCAGTGGCTTTCACCATCTGCTTGCCAGATCTGGTACATGCGCTGCCCCACTTTATACCCGGAGCCTGCACATCCTTCAACTCGTCATCCGGCGCAAGAGCCAGCCAAGAGGCGGCGTTCGCGCCAGAGTAGGTGGATATGGTGTGCCAGGGACTACCGAACCAGCGCGCGATGTAGAAGGCGAGGAGCATGCAGTTGAAGAGTATGAAGTTCAAGGGGATGATGCTCGTCCCGCAGATGCCGGGGTGGCAGACGTACATCTTTGGAACCTGCTGATTTTGCTTCTTCTCGAATCCGATGTTATCATCGGATTGCTTCTGGCAAAAAAAGGAAGCGGTAAAAGGCGAAGTGCACTCCAACCCGGACGTCAAAGCTAAAACATCCGTGAGGCGCTTGGTGCTCTCGTAAGAGTGGCTCGCACGCACGCCTTGCAAGTCATCGGTGGAAAGCGCCCACGGGTACGCTTCTAGAGAAGACGTCCAGATAATTCGCCCGCCACCCCTGGCCAACAAGTCCACAACTTCATGGACGAGGAAGTAATGGCCAAACACGTTCGCTGTGAATACCGTCGGTATCGACTCACCGCTTAATGGCGCTTCCTGTGCCGTCATGCAGCCCACATCCTGGATCTTGTACGTGGGCACTGTGACGGCCCGGATCCAGTTCTTGGCTAGCGAGATGAAGCAGTTCAGCCAGTCGATGCCGAGGAAGGTGCCCATTCCAGCGTTCAGGATCGCAGCATCGAGGTGTGGGTAGCTGCTGTATAGGGTTTGGGCGAGGGAGTGCACAGAGACAAGGTTGGTTAGGTCGACGGAGTGGTGGGCCAGGGTGTAACGGGGGGTGGGAACTTTGCGGGTGTGGAGGTGGTTGCTGAGGAGAGCAAGGGTGGCCGAGCCTTTGCTGTGCGAGCGGGTAGTTAGGATTAGTGTCAGGTGGTGGTTATCCGGATGCGTGGTTAGGAAGTCGTCTAGCAGCCGGTGGGCAAGGGAGAGGCCGAGGCCGCTGGGGGAAGGTTAGTTGGTGAATTATTGTTTTCTATCGAGCAAACAGTACAATGGGAGGTTTTGGGATGATAAATATCTATACCTATTCGCACCCGTGAGCAGGAAGTAGAATTGAGTCTTCTCCGACATCACTTCGTACTCGGTTACCCGGATTTCCTCACTTATAGTGTATTTTTTTTGATGGACAATTGTTGGGTGTTGCGTGAGAGTGGCCGGCAGGGACTGTCGCGAGCACGAAGGGGAGGTAGGGGGTGCAGAGGAGGGTGAGGGTGGTTGTTACGCACGGAACGTTTGGGCTTTGTTCGTTACTGCAAGCTGGCGAACCCTGGGCCCTGGGCATGGGCTGTCCCCCAACTTTATTTGCCGAGGCTATGATACTTGTAGTAGGGTGATTTGAGCCTCAACTGTTGGTTGCAGCTAACTGTGTTAATACTAGAAAAACTCCTACATGATATCAATGCTCGACAAAGATAATTATCTGCAAGTTTTATACTAGTAGAGAGCAACCAGAGGATAGCCCCATGGTTTAACTTCTCCAAGTTATCCTGTGCTGCTTGAGTACTGGTAGAGGAAATAATTTGAATAGGGTAGGTAATTCTGAATTATGTTACTATCATACCGGTACGTTGATACTATTGATACTACACCGGGAGCGTAGGGCCGGACCAAAATCTAAATTTACGAAGATCGCATAATATCATACAGGCACCCCTCCTACCAACCCCAAATACCGTACTGCCCGCTTCAAACTGCACTACCGTAGCCCGATAACCAGAATCTCTAAGCTCGGAAGCTCCCTCAGGAGCGTTTTTTCCGTCATTATCTCGGGGATTAGTGAGAAAGATCTGATACATGTGCAGTGATGCCAGGGCGACCCATGGCCCTGTAGTTGTGTATCATACTCGTACAGGCGCTGCAGTTAGATATATCCATTACGTGAAGTGCCGATATGGTATCATAACCCAAGCAAAAGCACCACATCGTTTTTCCCTCATAACCATGCCGGTATCACACTTCACGTGACAGACATATCTATCGGCCGCACTATCAGGGGAGGGATGCCGAATTAACACCACGCTTGTTAATCGTATCGAGCAATGCCCTGCCAGCACTGGACCAAATACGGATGGTAAATCGCCTGATTATCTCCCTATTGGAACGGATCTGGCAGGGAGATGAGAGCAATTGTCCGCTGGAAGAGCGTCGTGAATACCGGTTGTGAGTGGCATTTGTCCCGTGGGTCGAGATGGCACCCCTCGAGTGCCGTTTTGAGTGCTTCTGCTAAATGTTCATAGAAGAAAGGCTTTGGGCGGATCAAAGTGCTCGAGCTCGAATAGCTTGCATAAGCGTTTCTCGATCCCGGGTTGAAAACCTCTAGTTAACGCAAGTGCCGATTTGTACTTGTAGGGTCTTGCCAACACCCTGGCTGTGGGTCTTGGATTGGACAACTATCAATCTGGCTCCCCGGGTAGGCTCACGGTGGTTTTCCATGCCCTCCGCAGTGGGTGCGGTTTGCCTATGTGTGCTACAGGGGACCCAATACTCTGCACTTGAAATTTTGTCAAGTTGACGTTACAAAACCAAGCGGGTTAGCGAGACTGCACATTTTCACCCCAGAGATGCCATATAAGGGCGCGTCTGGTCGTCCCGAGTTTTTCAAACCTTGATAATCACAAAACCTGATTTGCAGGCTGCAACTGAAATAATAGCAAGTTGTTATAATTGGGAGTTTTCACGCTCCCAGAGGTGTGTCTGGTCGCTTGAAAAATCAATTCTAAAAAGGTCACCCAAAAAAATCAGAATAATTAATATGCGAAACACATTGGCACCTGTATTTCAATACTTATTTTTTAAATTTTTTCTACTCTACTATTGGCAGTGGGAGTGGGTTATTGTAGCCAATGCATGCTACTCCAAAATGAGAGTTTGTGAAATACTGGTCAGACCAGTATTTCAGAAACCTTTCATTTTGACATCATTATTGTATTTTGAATATTGTGTTTTGGTGGCAACCAGACATGCCCTAAAAGGTAATTATAATGGAATTATCCAAATTTAGTGGTACTAGTATCCTACCCATCTGTCTGTCTTATCATATAGTACATGTTTACTTTAGAATGCTCTAGCCAACTCAACTCAACTCAATGTACAATACAAATATTTGCATAAGCGCCCTCATGTGTTTCCGGGAATAATATCAGCAAGCGCCGTATTGTAACCGTTGAAGTATGATATCATACTTCAACTCATAATCACCTCCTCCGCCAGCTTTATGGCTTCCATCCCACGCCGTAAGCTCGAGCTAGCCTCTTCATCTTCGATCTCGGCTTCAACCTCCACTACCGTTTTGGGCCGATTTTTATTCAGACCTTCTAGCAACGTACAAGCCTTACATAGTTTCTGTGAGGTCAGATACCCGCAACGTGTGCAATTCGACATCTTCTGCTCGCGAATTTTCTTGGGCGTTTGCTTCGTTTTCTTCGGTTTGCCCGGGGCGATATAGGGCGTAGGAATAATCTGAGTCTCTAGCCCAGACATCTCGGCTACAAGCGCCTTCTCCATAACTTCCATTTCACCACCAGACGACCGCCCCGCTCCCCCATTACTGCATCCCGCATCGCCGTCTCCGATATCTGCTTCCACACCCGATTCTTGGGGTGGCCTGGCATCCAGCGTTTGAGCTTGGGTGGGTATCATTGTGGAAAACGCCTCGCCTGACCGGACGATGTCTAGGATGGCTGATGGGCGAACTTTCTCAAGCGCCTTAATCAGTGTTCTTGCACTGCCACGGAAGGCTTCAGGGGAGTATATGCATTCTGTCGAAAAGTAATCCAATTTCTTATGCAGTGCATAGAGGACGATTTCTTTTTCGTAGGCGTATTTAAGAGGTTTGCTGCGAGCTATAGGCGAGGATGTGGAGGATGTGATTATCGATGTGCAACGGTGGAGTCGGGGGAGGTCGCCTCTCAGTACTGCGCGGAGAATTAGCCCAAGAACTCGACAAGGTGGGTGCGAAGCTAGGCACAATTCATCAACACTGTCTCCGCAATGTCATCCGCATTATGCCCCGTAACCACGTGATTAATGCCCAACCTCTCGGCCCCTCGATCCAATGCTTGCCGTCGAAAGACCCCGCAATAAGTGCAATTCCCTTTTTTCCCAATACTCTCAACAACCGAGTCCATACTCCACCCATACAACTCTTTATAACTGACAATAGCCAACTCCATCCCGTACTGAACAGCGTTCCTCTTCACCGTCTCTAGGGAGTCATCCCTATAACCTTTAATTCCCTCATCAATACTTAGCAGAACAAACTCGACGCCGTAGTCGTAGCGCTCATTGAGAGTCTTTAACACGCTCGCAAGAACGGTGCTGTCTTTGCCCCCCGAGGCCCCGATTGCAACACGACTCCCCCGCGTGAAGAGGTTTGTGCTTACTATTGTAGCGTGGATTTCGGACTCAAAGGTGGCGAGAAAGCAGAGCCTGCAGAGCTTTTGGTGGGTTTTGGGTCGGGAGATTAGGGCTCGGGTGGAGCGACAGGATTCGCAGAGCTTGGAGGCAGGTATGGGGAGTGCTGGGGGCATGGTAGCTATGTGGTAGGGTGCAGACCGTATATTCCGTATATGGCGAGTAGTGAGGTTGGGGTATCACTCGTACTGTCATACCGGTATTATGGAAAGCTGGTGGTTGTCGTGGTGTGATGAATTGAATGGTGGGGCGCCAAATGGTGGGACATCTGGTGTCTCAGACTAAAATCTACTTGGTTTATGGTAGGGTAACTTTGAACTGAGGTTGATATGATAAGTTCATACGCTGTCAATGATAGCCTCGGTAGGGTTGTCTACCGCAGGCTGCATCGAGAGGCTCCGGGAATGGCATCATAGATGCTGCAGTTGTTTGCACAGAGTGGATGGGGGGGCTTGGTATATTTACGGAGCACCAAATACCAAGGTTATTAGAGGGCTTGGACACTTGGAAATTGGACAGGTAACATGAACACAGTTGCTTGATGACCTTGTGGGTTGAAGAATCTCATTAGAAAGTATCATCAATGAAGGGAAGGGGGACTGCCTAACTCAGGCACATTGCCAACTGCTATCGCTCATGGCACCACTGGTAGGAACAGACGTGTTTGTTATCTCTATTAATATTTCATACATGGCCAAGGGCTCCTCTGACATTAATGTGCAGAATTTATGGTGAAGGGAGCGCAGGGGTCCCGAAACCGTTGAGTCTCTATTGAAATGCGTGTGATAATACAGGGAGTGCCAACCCAGAGGGAGCACTGAGTAGATGGATACCGTTACATAAGCGCTATGGTATGCGCCTAGTATCACCCTATCTTGATTTCCCCCTAGGAATACCCATTCCAGGAGTACTCTTGAGACTAGCCACTTGTCTAATCGATGCGGGCTTTGTGAGGTGCTCTCATCCTCAGTACTGCCATCCCTTCTTGACTAGCAATCATCTTACCCTCTTCTTGTTTAACACTTTCCTACCCCATCGAGATCGTTTCCAATTTTCCCAACCCTACACCCATGGACGACCTATTCGATGAGCTGATGGTTGTTCTCGGGGACGATGTTCCTAAGGATAGAATTGGCAGATCATACGATGCCAGCCATTCACAGCAAGAGCCTACGCTCGAAATTGACCACTTCCCTCTACTGCCGGAACATAGTAGGTATTGGCCGATGCAAAGTCGGGAGGAGTTGAGTCGACATGGTGGGTTTTCACCTCAGTGGTAATGACAAACAGTCTTCTCCTGACAAACAGAAATGGTTCTAGAGGCTAGTCAGCAATCTGTGGGAACTGGGCGGAACAGAACACAGACGAGACCTCCGGATACTTTAGTACGGGGTCCTGCGTTGGGTTTAAACTTGGAGAGGGTATCTGTTCGGAGGTGTAATACCGAGTACCCCCTGCAGGGCGATCGAGTAAGTTCTCATGGTGATGGCGGCCGAAGGAATCCCTCTTGGGAGTGTGTGGGACTTAGTGGAACTTTAGTGCCTGGTGAGTAAACAATGGGAGTTTTGACAGAGAGGTATGGAGGGCTTATACTTAGCAGATGCAAATTTCTCTAGCCAGCAAAGTCCATACTTTGGTCGGAATCTCTGCAGTTCCCCGACTGATGAGGCATGGCGGGAGATCCCAGGCTGCCAACCCCCTCAGAGAGCAGCGCCCCATGGGTCTAGAAGACTGCTTGGAGTTCGTGCAGTAGGAGACACCACGAGATCACGCTTTAGACATCCTCGAAGCACTGCTCCTGTTTCCCAGCTTTCTTCAGCACCTTCAGGAACCATCCCGTATTCCCATGCTCCTCCCATAGCCCAAGGTGTCTCTCTACTTTCTGTCAATATTTTGCCTGATAAATATCGGGGGCTATTCCAGTTCCCTCTGTTTAATGCTGTTCAGTCTAAATGCTTTCCGCTGGTTTATGGGTCAGATGACAACGTTGTCCTGTCATCTCCCACTGGATCGGGGAAGACAGCGATCCTAGAGCTCGCAATTTGCAGACTTTCAGTCAGAATGGAACCGGGGAGTTATAAAATTGTTTACCAGGCACCTACAAAGGCCCTTTGCAGTGAAAGAAAACGAGGTTAATTGATCCTTTTCCCTCAACTTGGGCAACATATTTGGCCTAAATCTTCCGATGAACTAACTGCTTCATTTACAGATTGGGAGAAGAGGTTTAGCGTGATTGGGCTTTCATGCACAGAGCTAACGGGTGATACCCAACAATCGCAATTACGAAATGTAAAGGATGGGGACATTATTGTGACTACCCCCGAGAAATGGGATAGTATGACAAGGCGATGGGAAGACCATAGGAAACTACTGGAGATGGTCCGGCTGTTTTTGGTATATTCAAATAGCCCACTGGCCTGTTCTGGGGTGTCTGTCGCTAATAATTTATTAGATTGATGAGGTTCATATCCTAAAGGAGGACCGTGGTGCAACCTTGGAGGTTGTGGTATCAAGGTAATGCCAAAGTAAACAATTCACCAGTCACTCGTGTAACGTGTGAGAGACAGGATGAAGTCTATTGGGTCCGATGTCAGATTTATAGCTCTGAGCGCTACAGTGCCGAATTCGGCGGATATCGCGGAGTGGCTGGGAAAGTGCTCTTCTGTGACGCAATCTCCAGCCCACGATCAAAGATTTGGTGAGGAATTTCGGCCAGTGAAGCTACAAAAGTTCGTATACGGATATCAATCTCCCGGGAATGACTTTGTATTTGATAAGAAACTGGATAGAGCGTATGTACATCATTATTGGGCTTTTGTGTCCGGAAATCCTTATTAACACAATCGCGCAATTTCAGACTGCAAGAGGTCATACAGAAACACTCCGTGAGGAAACCTATCATGGTGTTTTGTATGACCAGAGCTATGTGCATTAGCACGGCCAAGGTGCTCGCTCAATGTTGCTCCACTGCGAAACCGGCAGATAGGATGTGGTCAGCTCCAACTATACAATTCTCCTTCAAGGACAAGGACTTACACGCAACCGGTGCATGTGGTGTGGCTTTTCACCATGCTGGACTTGATCAGAAGGATAGGGCACTTGTCGAGCGGCTTTTTCTTGAGGGCCACCTTTCTGTGATCTGTTGCACATCGACGTTGGCAGTTGGCGTTAATCTGCCCACCCATCTTGTGGTTATAAAAAATACAGCAACATGGTCCAATGGTGGCCCTAAGGAATATGTCGATCTTGAGGTGATGCAGATGCTCGGAAGGGCTGGTCGACCGCAATTTGATGATACTGGAGTAGCAGTTATCATGACGAGGCGAGAGCATCGAGTTAGATATGAAAAGATGGTTTCGGGCACTGAGATTCTTGAGAGCTGGTAAATTACCCCTCTGAACCGAGGAGGGTTATTTAAGCTAACTAACTCAAGTTTACATGAGAACCTAGTAGAGCATATAGTAAGGTTGCACCACTAAATAGTAGAAGGCGATACTGACTACCTTTAGAATGCTGAGATAGGTTTGGGAACTATTACCAATGCCGAGTCTGCGAAACGGTGGCTGAGGTCTACCTTTCTTTACGTTCGTTTGAAGAAAAATCCATCACACTACGCGATAACAGGGGAGAAGGGGATTCAAGGTATAGAAAAGAGATTAGAAGAAATATGTGAAAGGAATATTAAACTTCTGACTGAAGAAGGGCTGGTGATGGTAGAAGGGGGGCGGCTAAGGTGCTCCGAACTGGGATTAGCGATGGCTAGATATTATGTGAAATTTGGGTCGATGAAAACAATTCTGAGTCTTAAAGAACGAGCGGGTCTATCAGATGTGGTATGGCTCCCTGATGTCTATAGAGAACAACCACTGATAAAGTCAAGATTGCCGCTTTGGCTAGTGCAGAGGAATTTAGGGAAATAAGATTTCGAAGCGGTGAGAAGGGACTCTATAAGGAGCTGAATAGGTCTCCGGGGATGAGATTCCCAGTAAAAGGTGATTTGTGGAATAGTTCTCACAAGGTCCAACTGGTGATCCAGGTAATTCTTCAATGTGTGTTAGTGATCTAGGGCTAACAATGTCCTAGTTTGAGGTTGGAATGATGGAATTTCCCACCGATCCTGGCTTTCAGAAGTATAGGACCTCGTTGTTACAAGATAAGGCATTGATTTTTCAGCACTGTCATAGAGTCATTCGGTGCATCATTGATTGCAAAATATACTCGAAAGATGCAACAACGGTGAAAGCTGCACTGGAGCTGGGAAGGTCACTCAAAGCGAAGGCATGGGAAAATTCGCCGAGCCAGTTGCGTCAGATCGAGGGGTTTGGGCCTGTGGCAATTAAGAAGCTGGTGAATGCAGGGATCCGGAATCTCGAGATGCTTGCAAGGCTCGAGTCTCACAAGATCGAAACCACACTCTCCCGGAATCCACCATTCGGGGCCAACGTGCTTAAAGTAGCCCAATCTGTTCCATTGTTTAGGATCTTTTGTAGCCAGATATCTGCGGTATGTCAAGCGGAAATTTCATGAATTTTGTACTAGACTGTGGAGCTGACTTGGGGACCTGCTAGAGCGGCAATGGGAAGGACAATGTGAAATTAACTGTGAAGGTGGAACTTGGGTTTTTGAATAGTCGCCCTCCTGAGAGATTTCGTGGTAGCCTTCTTTTTGCAAACCTCGTTGTAGAGCGCTCAGACGGCCTCCTGGTCGACTTTAGGAGGCTTCCGTAAGGTATCCACTAGCGTTATTAGGCAAGGTGCTCACATAGTTTAGTGTCCCAAAGCTAGAGGGTGGAAAAGCGGTCCAGTTTAATGTTTATTTGGGAACACCCGAACATAGTGTTTTGTGTCACTTAGTTTGCGAAGATATAGGTTTGTGCTCGACCCTTAGTCTACGGAATGCAACTCTAACACTGTGTATATAGTTGGCACAATTAAGACCCATGAGCTTAAACCGATGGTAGACACTTGTTTATTTCTACGGAAGTTGATTTTTTCACCTCCACAAAAGGCCCATGATGATGGGACAGATTCCAGCCAGGTTAGGGAACCTGCTGGGAGTGAGGAGGAGTATGGGGATGCAGAATTCATCGCGGCCGGTAAGAGCAGCAGAAGGCGAGTTAGATAGTGATTGCTAATAGTATCATACTCGCGATTTATAGTGGAAGACCTTGACTTCTCGCATATTAGGGGTCTTGGCGAATCATTGACCGATCAAACTAGACTAAACACAGCAGCCAATGCGAGAATGCTTGCGAGCAATGCGAATGGGGTAAGGGCAAACGGTGTCTCCGAGGAAGCAGAAACCCAGGAGCCTCACCAGCTGCCGAATGGGAATTGGGCATGCAAACATAAATGTGGGGACAAGTCTAAGTAAGGTGACCCCAAGTCCGGATTGATCGTGTGCTAAAATAAGTTAGATGTAAGCATTTTTGCTGCCGTGAGGGATTAGAAAAGCGCCCAAAGGCAGTAAAAGCTACGGGAGGTACCGTCGCAATGAAGCCAAATACAGTTCTTGGAGCGAAGCCGGCAGAGAGTGGTTCCAGTAGCCAGGAAACTATTGGGCGGCAAGCGCTACCATACCGTCCACAAAGCAACGCCATGCTGAAGGGGGTGAGAACTGATGAAGGGTTCGATGGCTCTTTACCCCCGCTGAAACCTGACCCCCCGCTCTCTACTGAGATGACACGTCTGAAAAGATTGCACGAAGCTCACGGGGGAGAGGCTGGATCGAAAGTGAGGCGTCTCTCCGCCATTCCACTGCGTCCAAAAGGAAAATCCACACCAGAAAGCGCATCTGGGACAATCCACGGGGAGAGATTGAGCGATGATGATGACGGGCTCCCAACTCTGGAAAGGCTTTTACGTGAAGGCACAGGTTATAAATGGTGCCCTGAAACAATGACCTCAAAGCCGAAGAGAGGTATTCTCAAGCACCCAATTGGGAGGGAGGCCGAAACTAACGAGAACGGTGTCGACGGGGTTCGGGGAGTTGGATCGAGAGTTGGATCAGTGGGGATAAAACAGACCAATACAGTTCATGGAGCATTTGATAGTGGCAGTCAGGTGCTAGGCGACACGAAGCCCAAGGATGAGATAGCCGATTCCGGAGAACGGATATTTGACGTTCCAATATTGGGCGTGGGTAAGTCACTGGATGAGCCAGCCGGCGAAGGAGACAAGATTCCGAAGGTGGAACATGTCGCCAAAGGTGAAGAAGGTACAGCACTTTATGAAGACCTAAACGCCTGGGATGTGAAACAAGAGCCTAAAGTGGCAGTTGCGCCACCAACAGGGTTGCGGGTTGGTAGAATCAAGCAAGAGGATCGCAGGGCAATAGAGCAGGATACACCAGTGCCTTCCAAAAGACTTAAGTGTGGAGCAGAGCCTGAATACGGCAGCAGACAGAGACTAAAGCCTGAGGATGGGGAGGACTTGGATTATGTTGTCATGTATGCTAGTCAGGGAAGCATTAAGAAGGAGTGGGAAATTAAAGAGGAGGGAGCCGGGGAAACTTTACAAGAAAGAACCTCATCTGAAGATTTTGTAATTTACGTCTAAAGGAATAGTAGAGGAATACAAGAAGCTACTAGGAGGACAATTGGATTAGCAGAAGGGAACGAACTAAGGGAGAGAATGAAGAGAGCGGGGCAGATTAAGAATAGAATAATACGATACCTGATGGTACCTATGCCGCCGGATTGGAGTGGCCACCAAAAAGGGAGCAACTCCAACCTGGCGCTACAAGTATATGATTACTAGTATCATAACTAAGATGGCCCAGACCCCAGAAGGAAGTGGAAAAAGAGAAGACAAATCCATATTTTACACACCAGCCATGCGTAGTGGCAGAGCGCATTCCCCGATATCTCATAATCTTCCCCCCGTTGTATGATATCACCAATGTTGTCATGCGTCTGTTGGCTTTCAACCAAGAAAGTACTCAAGTGGCCGGATTGAGTATAAGGGCCGGGTTTTAACTGGTATGCACTCCAGTTATCCTTACATGATATCGTATGCCTACTAGAGGAAGTACAGGCATGATACAGAATTTTTGAGCTCTATCATGCCTTTCCCCTATGAAAAACAACCAATGTTGTTGTCCTATAATAGGCTTATCATATCATACTAGAACCGGAATAGGGCTATCCTTATCATACTAGGAATAGACCCGCTATGATATGATTGGAGAGTATTTTAATGTTTCACACGGTCCAAGGACTGCCCATAGCGACCTCTCAATACTGGCAGGGCACGCCTCACTTATGCTCAGCTCCTTAGTTACCACTTGCAGTGTTTGCCCAATAGTAACAGAGATAAGGACCCCTAATCCAGCATTACCAAATCCCTCCAAGCTAGTATCATATCATAATTAGAGGCTTTCTCTCCATCAACCTTATCATTTACAATTTCCCCTGGATGGAGGAGGAGGAGGAGGAGGAGGAGGCCTAGGAATCCCTCCCACATGAGTGAAAATACTAATAATCGTCGCGGCGGAAAAAAAAAAGCTTCCCCGAATCCACTATCTCGGCCCCACACTCTATCTGGTTCGGTGGCAGGGAGGAGGAGCTCCTAGGAAGGACCAGCGTTCTCTTAGGGCGGTACAGTACTCGAGTACATACTTGTGTGAAAATAATTAGCTCGTCGTGTTGCGCTGTTCCTTTTTTTTTTTTTTTAACCGGCACTCGCAGCCCCCCCCCCCCCGCTAAGCTATCCAGCTAAACCTATCGTGGACCGACGGGTTGATTTCCGCTGATACTGATAGTCTAGACTGATATCGCACCATGGCAGCAAGATATTTTACCGTATGGTACAGATGCTGAAAACTCGGAAGGGTAAACCTTTTGAATGCCATGCGCTTGGCGGTGGGCGTTTCGGATACCATGGAATGGGAAATGTATGATGCCATCGAAGAAGTGAGTGGTTAGTTACCTTACCTTTGACCCCCATCACAAAACTGTGGAGAAGAATTCAAAAAATAAGCACAGTCGATTGTTACATTTTAGAATTTATTACCATCAGAAGAGGGCACCTCAGTGTGTTTGTCTGCCATCGCTTTGCTGCGCCGGGAATTCCCGGAAAATTGCTAAACTATCACACTTCATTCCATGGCTCACTTTATACAAAAAAAAAGCATAGAAAAAATCTAGAAAAATATCAGCAAGCTTCAAGCAATTGTTTCCCCTTTCTCCAAAAAAAAAAAAATTCTCAATTTATTTGCATTGTCTGAGGGATAAAGGGTGTCAATTTTGTTGGTCGTCCAAACGAGTTTTCCGCCAAGCGCATGCTATTCAAAAAGGTTTAGGTTAACTTACCCCAAAACGACTACCTATGGGTATGATGATTTGGTTGCGAGACTTCGCTATCACCACGGATTTCGCTCTGATTGAAGATCGGGAAGGATAGAACCAGAGAAGGTGGCCTCCTGAGAACTCCCATCAAGAGATGCGCATACCTTCCCAAATATGGAGCCGCGGTTGGAACAATTTTGAGTTCAACTGGCTTTGGATTTGTATCATACGAGAACTTGAGTCTCATCATTACCGTAGGCGCTGAGCCGCATCTCACAAGCAAGGGCTCATACCGCACTGCCAATTTCCGGGGCATCGCTCTGATACCCTTCAATACTGTACTCGAGTAGTGTATTCGGCAGAGCTGAGCCCCCCTGCATCGGTGGAGGCTTGTGACTTCTGCGACACTAGTGATACTATAGAGTGCAGTATGATATGAGAGCGACGGATAGGTTTAAGCTTACTCGTAGATCATTCAATAACCGATCTCTTCCCCACACACATGTCCTGGGTGTGATATGATAAATTTAACATTCAATCAGGTAAGCACTTTTCCCTTATCTGAGCCGATATGACCTCACGGGGTGTGTGTATGATAAATTTTGGACTTCTCGACCACGAGCAACCCGACCACTGCAACAAACCTTAACGGCCACAACAGCAATCACTAGCGAGAGGAAAAGGTGAGGAGGGGAAGGAAGAAGCTGAAGGTATCATACTCGTAGGTAGGCAGTGGAGAAGAGGAAGGTTGTGGAGAACAGGAAAATCTTCCCGCTACCCCCGCGTGCGGTAAACTGACACACACACACACCCATCCACTCCGTACCAGCAATAGCACCACCCAGGAATCACAATAATACCGGCATTCACGATACTTGTACATAATTCTAACCCTTCCCACCTGTCACCATGCTCTTGGGCGCATACCGTGCCAATCTCCTTTATACTCCCCCCTTCGCTCTTGCCCGCCCCACATTTTTCTTGCCCCTTCTGCAAGGGCGAAGCCACACGACCTCCCACCCCCCTTGTTCAACCGGCCTTTCCCTTGTGGCTTGCTTGCCCTCACGCAACATTGCCACATGCTTGCCTTTCCTATCCCCGTTGCTCTCGTGGCCAACCGTCACCCGCTCTCCCACATCGACAGCCGACGGCCTTTCCGCCGTAGAGTCGACTCTTCTCAATAAACGCTCCGTCACCCCGCACTACTGCCATTCCTCCCAGCTCCCTTCTTCTCCTCCGTACTCCTCCCGCGCCTCTCCTTTGCGAGTCATCATGGGCAGCGGTACTTCGAAGCCTGTAACGCATACAAGCGGAAGTAGCCGTCGCTCATTCCGCACCCCCTCCCTCCAATCCACCGCAGCAACGACAAAGAAACAGTCCATAGTTCCTCCCCGACCGAAAAATGGCGAGCGTGAGGCTTTCACTGCTGCAATCGACCAGGGAACTACGAGTTCACGTTTTCTGATCTTTGACGGATCCGGCACTCCCCGGGCTAGTCACCAGGTCGAGTTTGAACAGTTATATCCGCACTCGGGGTAATTGGCCCCAAATATATGAAATGAAAAAAAAGCTCATATCACATCGATAATCCGGGTGCTAATTTCTCCATGGGCATATCCAGATGGATTGAACATGATCCATATGAAATCTTAAAATCCGTGAATGAGTGCATAGAAAAAGCCACTAAAAAGTTTTTGGACAAAGGATATGAAGTGGGCGATATCAAGGCGCTGGGAATCACAAACCAGCGTGAAACAACCGTACTATCCCCACCATATTATTGTCACAAATTTATCCGTCTATATTGAGATGCACTATCGCTAAAATTTCTCCCTTCTTATCATAACCCAGGTCGTATGGGATACTAAAACAGGAAAGCCACTCCATAACGCCATTGTGTGGCCGGATACCCGAACCTCAAGATTGGTTCACGAACTGCGCAGAAAAGAGGGTTCGGAGAAGCTCCGGCGACTCTGCGGCCTGCCGCTATCCACATATCCGTCGAGTGTCAAGTTGATGTGGATGTTGCGACACGTTCCGGCCGTCCAATCTGCCCTGAAAAACGATCGGCTTTCTTTCGGGACTGTTGACACTTGGCTATTATACAACCTTACCGGGGGTGTAAAGCACGGACTTCATGTTACCGATCCAACCAATGCCTCCAGAACTATGTTTTGTAACATCAACACATTGGAATACGATGACTTCCTAATTGATTGGTTTGGGGTAAGGGGGGTGAAATTGCCAAAGATCGTCCCATCCTCGGACCCCGATGCATACGGCAGCATTAGTGACGGTGTACTCGCTGGTACCAAAATCGCTGGCTGTCTCGGAGACCAGAGCGCTGCCTTGGTCGGGCAATGTGCTTTCACTCCCGGAATGGCAAAGAACACATATGGAACTGGCTGTTTCCTCCTCTATAACACCGGCTATGAGCCGGTGATGTCGGAGAACGGTCTTCTGACCACGGTGGCCTATGCCTTCAAGGGTTTCAAACCGGTATATGCCTTGGAGGGTGCCCATTCCTAATGCTCCACCCGGGAGATTCAGCTAACCCCATATGCCTAGGATCCATTGCTGTTGCTGGCTCGGCCGTCAAGTTCTTGCGGGATAACCTCGGGCTCATAAAAGAATCCGGTGAAATCGGCGAACTTGCTGTCAAAGTTCCTGGTGGGCGGAAATCCCGACCTAATGCCAAGATTACCCGGTGCACAGAGCTAACGTGGCGTTTTTTTCCCAGACACGGGCGGTGTTGTTTTCGTGACGGCTTTCTCCGGTCTTTTCGCTCCGTACTGGATCGATGATGCCCAAGGCACTATCTGTGAGTAGCTTAATTTCTCTTCCGCTCCGTCCACCCGCGACATGGAATCGCCTTTGCGGGAAACGAGAAAACTAATGCAAGGTCTCCTGCAGTCGGCATCACACAATACACAACAAAGGAGCACATTGCGAGGGCCACCATCGAGGCAACATGCTATCAGACAAAGGCCATCTTGGCCGCAATGGAGAAGGACAGTGGAACGGCATTGCATACCCTCGCCGTTGATGGGGGCATGAGCAATTCCGATGTTTGTATGCAGGTATGGGATTAAAGTCACTTTTCAAAAACGGCATGATCTTCCCCGGCTGACCCGGGATGTCCGTTTCACAGCTCCAAGCCGACATCATGGGTAAGTGACGACCAGACCCGCTTGTGTGGGAGGTGAAAATGCGAAACCGGAGGGAATTCAGGCCCCACATCCGCCCTTTTCTCAATCAATAAGCTAAGTGAAAGCAACGACTAACCGCAGGCATCGACGTCGACCGGCCCAAAATGCGAGAAACAACGGCACTTGGCGCAGCCATAGCGGCAGGGTTCGCAGTGAAGGTGTGGAAAGAGTTTGACGAACTCAAGAACATCAACCGTGATGACCGCAAGACGTTTAGTCCGACGACCGACCAGGGCACCAGGGAAAAGTGGTTTAGCCTTTGGGGCAAAGCCGTTGAGAGATCCCGGGGATGGGTGGATAACGATGCTACAGACGCGGACCTCGAGTAGAAGGGATCGCCCCAATGGGTGCGTTAGGGGAAACAGAAGAGAAACATCATTAGTCCCCCCTCTCCCATTGTACCACCGGCCACACAGTTGTTCCGCTTCCGGCCAGCCGTTGCCAAAAAAACAAGAGGTGATTGTGCAGGCTAAGGGTCCGGGATGGTGTCTTTTTTTCCTTTTTCTTTTTTTTGTTTTTTCTTGGATCCTTCCAGAAAATTTCTTCTTCCTCCTCATTCGCGGGAGTCAAAGTCGGCTTTTTTAATCTGCGACAGGGATGTTTTGGATCTCTCGGGCCGGGCTTCTCTTGTTCCGTTTCCTTTTGTCTTTCTCTCGGGATGTTTTCTTCACACCTCTCCCAATGACTTTTTGTTCCTGTACCAATTCCGCCTCGCCAGAAAAAAAGTCTGGCGGTTCTCCTTTCCCTTTCCCTTTTCCTCTTCCTTTCCCACTTCTCTCCCTTCTCAACGGCTGACGGATCATGTACGATAACGAGTGACATTTGAGACATATGATATTCCTGCATGGCAATTTTATCTCACCCTCTCCACCCGACGGCTAGGATCAAGTCAAAAGCGTGGCGCTGGAGAGGGGGCGCACCGGATATTACAGTAGGAGGACAAAAGAGGGGGAAAAACGTATCAAGTTGACTTGTTTCAAGGGCACGAGGGACCAGGTACCGGTATGGGGGGAACGAGGTGATTTTCTTCGGGTCTTAATGGCGTATTACATTACACGTGTGGTCGCGGAGACGAAGGGCACGAGAAAAGGTTGGAAAACACGCAATCATATGTCCGGGTGTCGCTCTGGTGTTCCCAATTGCCATTATTACCATCATACCCTGTCCAAACCTTCCTCCTCCCCTCCTCCCGCCTAATTATTCCGCGCGCGATGAACGAGGCCACCCTCCCGGGAACGGAGATCACAGGGCTCGTTCTTTCGTTCCTGCAGTGCTTCACATCGTGTTCACGGCTTACGGTACCTTCGGCGCCGAGGCTCGGTTAGTTAGGTAGTACTTAGGAGACGAGGTACTGTACCTACGGCCCAAGCCATACCTTGCATCGCAAACCTCTCCGAGGGGAATCAAAATTTAGAATACCATACCAGTAACCCGAGAAGGATCCGCTCCCATCTCGCCCTATCCCAACTTCCGCTGCTCCAATTCTGCTTATTGCGCCATATGATACTCCGGTAACACCCAGCCAAAAGTACCGAGAGATACCACGTACAACTGCCAGTGTGCAAGGATAACAATGGTATGCATCATGACCCGGACACCAACCAAGCCCCAACCGAAGATCAAACGGCCCAGGTCCTCTAACCCCCATCGCATCACACACACACACACCGGGTCACAGTAACACACACCGGGTCACATTATGGCGCAGCATTTCGTAGCATTGCCGGCCAGAGGGCATATCGTAGGGTAGAATGTAATCGGGAGTGGTTGGTATGGGTGGCGGGACCGGAAAGGACGATGGGTCGGGCCGAAGTTGCATCTGTTACGGTGGCGTGGTGGGTGGGGGTATGAGTTTGGGTTTGCAACCGGATGGTTGGAGGCATGGATAAAGGAAGGAAAGGGTTACCAGGCGATGAGTGGATGAGAAGAGGGCAGGGAGCGCGCGCGGGGGGGGGGGGGTTGATTACCGTAGCATGGCGACGGAAATGGGCCATATGCTGGTATCCAGGGGGGATTAGTTGGAGTCGGAAGGGGCGTATGAGTAGTCTACCTAGGCCCGTTGCCAATGTCGAAGCGGTTGTACCGGTACTGCCTTGCTGTATGGACCCTTGCGGACGGAGATCGCGGTATATTGCCCAAAGTGCTCATGGATTATGTAACGGGGGATATCGAGTCGATTGGGATGTTTTGCGCAACAGCTTTGCGGCCCTGTTTCGTTTCGCCCTGGGAGTTGGTGGGCGGTATAAAAATACTGTACTGTACTGTACTCGAGTACAGTACGTACTGGTAGATCCTTCCTACGCGCTACCGGTACTAGGATGGGACGTCTAACCTGCTACTAACGCGATTCGCCCGCCTCACTTTGGCTACCTTGGGCATCGTACTCGTACTGGTATTCTGGCATAGAGTATCCGAAGGGTGGAGTGGAGTTTAGCCTCGCGGTTTGGGCCTTTTTTTTCTGGTCGAATGCTTTAGAGTTCCGCACCCAAAAGAAGGTGCTGTATCATGTATCACACCTGAATAGAAACATTAAGCGATTATTAACTTCCTAGGGCCCAGGCTCTCTCTCATTGGTTGATGGTCAATAATGTTGCCTTACTAATGACAGCAACTAAAGCCGCTTACCTACTGGTAGGTAACCCGTAAATGTCATTCAACGGCGGGGCCAAATGGGCTCTGAAATGGGGCGGGGGGTTTCCGAGTGTCAATTTCGTAGTTGATCTTTGTTACTTTGGTATGATATGGAAAAGTGTGTTAGTGTACACACACACGGAGGCATCTCTCTCGCTCACTCTGGTGACTTGCATAGAGGTTATTCGGGCTTGGGGCTGAACGTGTCTCTCTCTACGTACAAAGTATCATCGCAAAACGGACCGTAGATTATTCATGGGTATTACTACAGCCTCCGAGGAATTACTCTGATGATTAAAATCCGAGCCAAGATATACTCGAGTAAAGTGCTTCCTAGACTCCCACAGCCATCCGTACTCGAACTGCCCTAGTTCCCACTCCGCAGCCAAGCTACCCGCATATCATGTCATACCCAATCACCCGCCCAGGAGGTTTCCGTGGTTAGATGGGCAGGCAAGGCACCAAGCATGCCCCCCGCACAGCGCTGCCTAAATAAAATACCCATGGTCGGGACATCATCATGACACCCCGGGAGCTCATAGCCCTGAGGGTGACTTTTGAGACATGAAAGACGTCTAAACTACCCTACAATTCGGTATCGTCATATGGGATAGATCTGACTTAACCATCCACATGCGGTTTTACGTATAGTAACCTGCAATTTATCGTTGTGCTCGGGTCTGGACATTGGGACGATGGGCCCCACAGAGGCAGCCAGATTGGAACC